AGATCGGTGCTTGTAGCAATGTTGCGGATGGCTGGCGATTTGAGAGCTTTGACCACTTCGGCTAGCGAAGCTCCGAGACTTGGCACGCTGCACCTCTTGATGCGAACATTCACGCAGTCAGTACGTCGCCAACGCTTTTCTGTGCACATCAAACCTCGACATCTATGCCTTGCAGTGTCCTCAGCTTGACTCAGCATCTGTGGCACCATACAATGATCTCACCTTGGCCATGTGCTTTGCTCCCGTATACGTACGCCGCGAGCGCGGAACAAGACCAGACGCATTCTCCTGTCAGTTGAGTGCACAGTAAAACGGAGCCAGCTTCGCACTTAGCTTCTTGTTTTACTTCACGCAAAGGTCAGGAGCAGTACACCGAACGAGAAGTTGTAAAGAAGTGTGATTGTCAGAGCTATAACGCTACGAACTAATCTATTTGGCGGAAGTTGGGTCCTTCATGCTGATCATAACCGTCTTGGACTGCAGATACTCTTCCAGACCAGCCATTCCACCCTCGCGCCCGTAGCCACTCTCCTTACATCCGCCCCATGGCAGCTGGCTCAAGGGCAGGACAGGGCTATTAACTCCCACCATGCCGACATGGAGAGCTCGGGTCACACGCAGAGCACGCGGCATACTGGAGGTGAAGACAGCAGCGGCGAGCCCGTACGAGGAATCGTTGGCAAGTGCAAGACCTTCCTCCTCTGTGGAAAAGGTCTTCACAGCCAAGACAGGCCCGAAGATCTCCTCGCGGTATGCGCGACTGTTGGTTGGCGGATCGATCAGAATCGTTGGCGGCATGAATAGGGCGGTGGGGTGGTCAGGCACCTCGCCTGCGACTACCTTGACACCCTCGTCACGGGCAGCATCCACGAAGGCCTGCACTCGCTGACGATGCTGCTTGTCAACCAAGGGGCCAAAGAAGGCTTCCGCCGGCGCGCCGTGGGCTGCAGCCAACTGCTTGAAAGCAGTGCTGATGCCCGCAATGAAGGCATCGGCGATGTCGCGGTGGACAAGCACTCGCGAGGCTGCGGAGCACACCTGAGCACCATTGAGGGCGAATGTCTGCGAGCAATGCGAAATGGCTGTTTCGAGGTGGGCATCGTCAAAGACCAGTGCTGCCGACTTGCCTCCCAGCTCGAGTGTGACTTGCTTCAGGTTGCTCTTTGTGGCCGCATCCTGTACTGCACGGCCGCCGCTGACGGACCCCGTATAGGAGATTTTGCGAATGCCCATGTGCGATGCGAGGAGAGCGCCCGTCGCTGGCCCGCCGGACACAAAGTTCACCACGCCTGGGGGAAAGCCAGCCTCGCAGAACAATTGTCCAAGGTACAACGCGCCCAGCGGCGACTTCTCTGACGCCTTGAACACAAATGTGTTACCTGCTGCGATAGCGGGCGCGATCTGTTGCACTCCAGTCAGCAATCGCCTGGAAGAATGAACATAGGCGGCATTCTCACCTTCAACGCCGAAAAGATGGGCGTCGCATTCCACGCTCCGATGCCTGCGCATACTCCAATTGCCTCCTGCAACACCATCTTGAAGAAGCCATCGCCATCTTCAGTGTAAGTAGTGCCACCGATTTTATCTGTCAAACCTGCGTAATACCGGAAAGCGGCCACATGGTTCCCCACCACCCTCGTCGCCAGCATCATGGGCGCTCCCATACACTGCGACTCGAGCTGGGCTATCTGTTGAGTGTGCTTCTCGACCAGATCGGCGTACTTGAGCATAAGCGCACTGCGCTGTACGCCTGTCATTGCCTGCCATGTTGGGAACGCCGCCTGTGCTGCCGACACAGCCAAGTCGACATCCTTTTCTAGCGCTATTACGATCTTGTCTGAAACAAGACTTCCATCGTACGGGTTGTGCACCGTGAGCCTCTCGCTAGTATGCGATGCGACGTACTGCATTTGGTCATTAGCTTCCATACCGCGACATGTCTTGTACTGTCTCGGTCCTCACCTCGTTGTTGATGAAAAGTCTCTCTTGCATCTCCGTCATGTTTCAGCTGGTTATTCTTCTGGAGTAAATATTGGAGAGATGATAGTAATTGAGCTGACAGTGGGAGAAATAAGATTAATGGCTTTATCAAGATATGGGGGGTTCTTCGACTTCTTCTTCTTCGCTTGCCTTCACCGCCCGCGATTTCGATACCAGCTTGCGCTGCAGCAGGCTAGCACGAGACTGGTACAATTGAGCTATCACAAGATCATCGCGTTACGGTGAGAATGTAATCATGCCGTTGTCGGGTGGTTCTCTTCAACCCATCGGGTTTTTGGGTTGCAAAATTCCGGGCAATTGCCTCCAGCGTTCCACCCGCATCTAGCCCGACCAGCTTCGCCAACGTCAGCCGTTCGCCAACGATCGCGTCTTGTCCGCCTCGCGACGCTTCTAAGCCTGGAACTCTTTTCTGAGTTGGCGCAGGGACGATCAAATTGATGTTGGACACAATGAACTAAAAACCCGTCCTAGCAAAACAGATGTCATTCGCAATCAGGATCGCAGGCGTAATCTGTGTACATATCCCACATTTCGTGTAACGGTTCCTACAGCATTTCATACCTTCGCCATGTATACAGAAATGATCTCCTCTCGATTTGCCTCGATTCCATTGTCCTTACCAGCGCTCTGTGCGACGCTGGCTGTGGTTTATGTGATCTACCTGGTGTACAAGGTCGAAATCCACCCCCGTCTTTTCAACCCGTTTCGACATCTTCCCACAGCAAAAGTAAGATATTACCATGAAATGTTTGGTGCATGACTGACAGTGTTGCTACAGGGCGGACTACCTTTTTTAGGCCATGGGCTCCTTCAATTCACCAACCCCCGTGGACAAGCCTATTTGGATATGGCAAACTCGGTACCGAACCAGGGTCTGATCCACTTCCGCGGATTCATGAACGTCAATCATATCCTGGTAGTCAGCAACGAGGCCCTCTCTGAGGTGCTGGTTCGTCGCGCGTACTCATTCACCAAGCCAGCGGTGTCTCGACGACTGATGAGCCGAATCCTGGGGCCGTCTCTCCTCATCTTGGAAGGCGATGAGCACAAATATCTTCGTAAACGCATTCAGCCGGCATTCAATCATCGAACCGTTCAAGATCTTTGCCCCGTTTTCTGGTCAAAGGCCATTGATATGGTGGAAACGATGGAACGGTCTACCGCCTCAGCTGACGCAAAGCACACCGTGGTGGATATTCTACCCTGGGGTAATAAAGGTACTCTTGATGCTATTGGTCTCGCTGCATTGGGCAAGGATTTCGACACACTACGTCAACCGAATGAGCTCACGGAGTTATATGAGCTGTTGACTGGCAGCAAAGAAAGCGTTCGTCACTTGTTCATAGCCAACGCTTTTTTGCCGGCCTGGGTGCTACAGCTCCTCCCACGGAAATTTAACCGGGACCTTGATGACGCTCGCAATAAGCTGCGACAGCTTTGCTTTGCCTTTGTCGAAGAGAGGAAGAAAGAAGTTGCCGAAGGCACCGGCCAAAAAGCCCTCTTATTGCAGCTCATACAGAGTGAAACGCTAACGGACAATGAATTGGTTGGTCAGCTTCTGACAATCATCGGAGCAGGGTATGTCGTCAACGTGCACCGATGGATGATAGAAACTGCTGCTAACAGTCAAGTAGATACGAGCCTACCTCAGCAACTTTTACCTGGGCTCTGTGGCTACTTGCCATCAACCCCACCTGGCAAGATCGGCTCCGTGCCGAAATTCGCGAATACATTCCCTACCGCTTTTTCGACAACGATGCAGAAAGGTTCAGCGACTTTGCAACTCTCGATACCCTTCCCGTCCTAAACGCCGTGGTCAACGAAACGCTACGTCTCATGCCCACCTCGCCGATCACATCACGCGTCGCTGTAGAAGACACTACCGTTGTCGGTACCCGCATCCCAGCCGGAACACGTCTGTGGATTGTTCCCGCGGCTATGAATCGCTTTGCGTCTTTCTACGGAGAGACTGCCGATACTTTTGAACCGGGTCGGTGGATCGATGAAGACAGCGGCCGAGCGAACAATCATGGCAATGCACACACCAACTACGCTTTCATGACCTTCTTGCATGGACCGCGTAAGTGCATTGGAGCGGGCTATGCAAAGGTCGAGTTACGGGCTTTCATCTCCGCCTTTGTGGGTAGCTATGAGTTTGAGATGGCAGATAAAACCTATGTGCCACAACCTGCTGGTATTACAGCTATCAAGCCCAAGGATGGTTTGCCGTTGAAGTTGAAACGCACTCAAGCGTGGTAGTCATCTTGTATCGTACTCAAGGGAGGATGATAAGGAAGAAATTAGATAGTCGAATAAATGCAGTAATTAACAGCGTTGGACTCCATGCTCCTGTGACATGCTTCTAAAGTGTCCACCATGCCGCCCAGTCGCTGTTCGATCGTTGAAGTGCGTTCGAGTCGCTACGCGCAACCGTATAATCGTACAGAAATTTCACAGGACAGTTCTATGCTGACCATATGTTACTTGCACTCTTCGCAACAGCATGCGTCACTAATCCGTAGGCCCACGCGACGTGCATCCGGTACATGCTTGAGTGCTTCGATCAAAAGGGTAAACGACGATGCTTGCACTCCACTGACATTATCTTCACATGTGCAAACGACGAAGCGCATCTCAAGAAAGGCAATAACGGAAAGTGCGTTGTGAACATGTTCATTCGTGACAGAAGACGTAAGGGAAACGTTAGTCATATTTGCATCGCTGGAGAGAGTGAAGGAATTATCAAGAAAGGATGACGGATAGCCTAAAGATTTTGCATGCATTGGTATAGTGCAGCAGCAGGAAATCGTTCAAAGACAGGTTTTTAGTGGTGCCTTATAGCCATATTCTCGCAGAAGCAAACTCCATTGAGATGAGGCCCGTCGGCTGAACTGCCTCATTGGGTGATGGCCCCGCCAGATCCTCCAATCAGCCCTCCGAGCCGCCTGCCCCCGAGCCTGCCACGCCTGCCCCAGCGGTCAACACAGAACGTCTCCATGTCACTTCTTCTCTGACACCTTCACCATCAACCCCTTGTCAAGGAACACGCCATAGCTGATCGTATCGCACGGCTCAAATGGACGCACAAGCTGCAAGTCGAACACGCGAAGCATCTGCCAGGATTAGCGACGGTCACACCAACACCATCGCGCACGTTGCGAACGTACCTCGAAGACCACCTTCACCATGTCCATCATAGCGATGTTCTTGCCCGCGCATACCCAGCCTCCGTAGCCAAACGACATGTCAACGTCCTGCTCCATCTGCCTGCGTCTCTCGTCGCCTACCTCCATGAAGCGTTCTGGTCGGAACACGGCCGCGTCGGCGCCGAACAGATCTGTTGACTGCAGCAGGGCTGACATGTTCATGCATACATCGGTCCCTGGGGGAAGCATCTTTCCGTGGAAGATTGGATATTCGCCTGCGGGTACTTGTTTTGGGAAGAGGCCGAGGATGGCCGGGCGCATGCGTAGGCCTTCGTAGATGACCGCCTGGAAAAAAGAGATATATGTCAGCGGGCAAGATCAACACGTTTGGGCGGGATCTCAATGAGACATACCTGCAGATACGGCAACTTCTTTCCCTGCTCCAAGGTAATGGGGAAGGACACCTTCTCCGTCCGTACCGCGTCCCGGATCTCAGCAGAGAGTCGATTATACACGGCGGGCGAGCTTATGGTGTGTATGAGAATGGAGCGCATGGCGTTAGCGGTGCTCTCACTTCCAGCGAGTAGGAGAAAAAGGCCCTCGGATTGGCACTCTTCCTCTGTGAAGCCGCGAGCCATCAAACTCGCCAGAAAGTCCTTGTGATTTTTACCACCATCGGGTGCAGCAAAGCGACGGCTGACCTGATCAGCTGCGAAACTGGTCGAAAGTCAGTGAGGTTGCCCAGAACAGAAATCTGTAAGTTGAATCAACTTCAGCCAGGTACTTACCCCATCAGTGCCCCGAAGCCCTTTTTGTCGCTGCTCTTCGGTCCGACCAATCTGAGCACGAAAGGCGAGAATGCAATCTTGCGGATCCAACGTATGTCAGCCACCGTCGACATCCTCGGCCAAAGCTCGTCTACTGTGCCCAAGAATTCGTAGTGGTCTTTTTCGTCCTCGAGGTAGCCAACCGCTTTGCCGAAACCCATCCGTGTGATGACGTCCATGGTGAAGTATTTCGTGATGGCCGCTAGATCCAGCAGAGGCTGGCCCTTTCCTGGCGAAGACACCACATAGCGGTTTCGGACAACGCTGATAAGCGTCTTGACCTGGTCGTCGATCAAACCCTCGAGACCTTGAGTTTCGCGCCCGTTGTATGCGGCCATGGACCTCATTTTCGCCTTCTTATGCTCTGCCGGGTCGGTAGTCGTGAACAAGTTACCATGATATGGGTTGAATCGGCCAGCTTCGTACCAATCGCTGCGAGGGTAATGGTTGCGCGCTGCAGAGATGGTGCGCAGGATGTTGGGGTCATCGGTAACGACTTCGTTGGGCCCGACGCGCACGAGAGGACCGTGTTTGGTGTGTAGGTCGCGGAGTATCCAGTATTGACGGCCACTGTATGTGGTGCGTCCAATCCAGAAGTAGGAGAATGGCGCGGTGAAGTGCGCGCTGGGTATGTGCCGGAGGCGCCACCATGCTCGGATGAAGCTCTGCACGACCCAGAGGGCGGCGAAGGCTACGACAATGGCGTATATTGACTGTTTGCTGAGAGAGACATTGGATAGCCCATATCGAAGCTGCATCTGTTAGATCTGATCAGCCTTCTCCCTATTCGTGGCAGCAGTGAAAGTAATTTGGCATACCTTGAGTGGTTGCGCTGGAATGGCTTGTAAGCTCTAGGATTGATTCCGTTTGGTTATTCCTGCAAGCTCTTGTTTTCTTCAGCGAAAGATACAAAAGATGGCAAGGTATGCGATTCGGGTCAAAGCCACGTGCGTGTGGACTCTGCTCAAGTGATAGACAGTGAAGCATGTCAATTACCCCGGAGCATTTCCCCAGGTTATAGGGTTCGGTGTATAGCAATATCTACAGACATCAGTCAAAGTGCCGAGATTCTACGCGAATGCACCTCTCTTGAAGGGCAGTGAAGACTCTTTCCCATATGAAACCAAACTTGGAAGGGTCTTGATTTACATCATGCGAAAGCGAACAGTTCCTGAGCCGGCGGCCGCTTGCGAGGCGATGAATATCGCCTACATCAGTCTACTGTCTATCACATTTGCGCCTAAGCTGACCTGTCAGCTGGACATTGCATCTGTATCACCGAAGCGTTAATGTCAGGCAAATGTACCGAGTACCACATGCTCGGAGGCCAATCAGAGTCCGTAATGCAAATATAATAAAAGCTTTGATGTTAAGGTATTTGGAAGTATCTGCTCTAAATATCACGAGGTGCTACCAGCGCTACCATCGAACTCCTCATATCTATCTTCTCCTAGACGTGGTGCTGGCATCTCTTGAATCGCAAGCTTTTTCTTTGTCTAAAAGGCACCTCTCATTTCCAACATACCAAACATCTGTTGCGCTGCCGCTCCAGTCTCGGCCGCCGCCGACCGCAGTCCTCCCAAAAGCGTGCTCTTCGTCTCCATGTTGAACATTGACAACTCTCGTGCTGTTTGCACAACTCGTCTGAGGCGGAGTTTGACCAATGCCTCAGAACACGACTGAGACATGTCTTTACTCAGCGTCAAGCCGCTGATTGTCAGGTACGTCATTTGGCCGTTGGGCGTGTTGACTGTTGCCTCGCGCATGTAAGTTTCTAGATGCTCAATCACCCAGCTCATGGCAGTGCAAAGCATCATGCTCATGTATGGTGAGCCGAGAGAGCAGTTCGCGCATGCGGTGATTGTTTCTTTGGTCCGGCTGAGCTGTTGTTCCACAGCGAAAACAACGTCTAGTGGAACTGCTGTCGCACGCCGCAGACTGACAGAATAGATGAGCTGGCTGATTTGAGTGGAGCATTTGCAATCCACATCCTTGGACAGGTCGAAGATGAAATTTGAAGCAGCTGGAGAAGCGGAATTCGAATCTCTGCTGAAGTCTGCTGGGGGTATAAGAGAAGTTTGGTTATCCTGGAAAAAGTTTTGCTGGCTCGTATGGCTCAGTGGTGGTGATGGCTCCTGTCCTGGTCCCCCGATATCGTTACTGAGTTCGAAGTCCATGCCACTGAGCATGGTCTGACCTGACGACATGTCCCACATCTGCGACATGGCGCCTGGGTGATGGCTATTCGTTGCATTGATGTCGATTCCACTCTCACCCCACTCCCATAGCGAAAGACTGTCCATAGGTGCAAAGTCAACTCCGTCGCCACTGTGTGATAGTTCCATGGGTATGTTGGTGAACGACTCCATCAAGTCCATCCCTGGAGACTTCATAAGCAAACGCCCGTCCCCTCCGTCGCTTGCTTCTCTCGAGATCTGCTGGGGGGTGTTCCGTGTCGAATCGTGACGCTTCTTTGTCGAAAAGAGCGAGTCCATGGAAGATGAAGAAGGTGTCAGCGGTGCTGTTCCACGCCTTTTCCGTAACCCATTGGCACTGGCATCCTGACCATACGACCCGGCGTCATCTGAGACTATAGATGTTTGACGCCGCCTTCCCGGGCGGCGTGCGACGCTGTAATTGCAGTCTTGTTGGCAGCCACGGTCTACGCAACGTTGGCAGACTGGCTTTTCGCGACTGCATTTGAGCTTCGATAGAGTGCAGATATCGCAAGAGTTGCGCAGCCGGCGGGTTCCCGGACGCGCTGGATCCATGATGGTAGCTTCGCGAAGAGAATAGAGATACGTCGGTTGTGTAGAAGCTGAAAGTTGACCTTGAACAGATGAACGTGAAAAACTTGGAACGAGAGTGTGGTGATGTTGACAGTGCGATAATCACGAGCTTATGTGATGCTATCTGATACAGATGTAGACATTCACTTGCTTGATAAATTGGCAGGGGACTACTATTAACCGGTATCGTAATTGTACACTCCTGGGGATCCATGGTCGACCAGAAGTATGAACAAACTTCGTACCATCGTAGGAGAACCGACAACCCAGAAATTGAGTTTTCGCATTCGGTGCGCATGCTATGACTGTGGGTGCCTTAGAACGGCGGAGCAGCTGTCTTCAAACGTTCACAGCGGCATTTGTGTCCGGCCACCAAGAATCTTCTGGTAATAACTGTGATGCAATGTTGACGTCCCGTCTCCGCGATAGCACGCCGTGCAAGTAAAAGCCAGCGCATGTCAGGTCTCTGCTACCCTGTCTGGACAAGCAGCGCCGTTGGAGCAGACCTGTCTTGAGGCCTGACGGGGCCAGGTCCTCATCTGTTATGCAGATCAAGGGCACAGACATAGACTGTGCGCGTTGAAGTGGCTGACACAGTGACACTTCAGCCTCGCTTCTGGGAGTTTCCGTCGATCATCGCACGCCGACGGACAGTCGACTAAGGGGGAGTTGGGCTAGTGTACCTGTACGGCGTACCTAATCCTGTGATTGCGTATTCGTACTTCATACTCATCGCCGAGACAACCCTTGTGGCTTGATAGAGAAGCATTTCGATGACGTCGAAGAGCCCCAGCCATAAGCTGAGGCGCCACTCCGCAATGCTTGTATGAACGTTGGAGTAAGTCGACCAGGATACTCATGACGGCGGAAGGTCGGGACACGCTGTTGCTTCGCTAGTGTCAGCCAACCGGTTCTGCATACGGTATTGTGTGAGGGTCAAGTCGGTCCGGTGCTGACAAGCCTCACACTTCTAAGGTTGCCAACGCGCAATCTGGTTTACGCCGACCTTTCCTTCACGCAAGGTCCAGCATGAGACGCCAGTCCTCTAACACGTAATTCGATCGTTATAAGTCGCAAGTTCAATCGTCGCGGGTAGTGGTTGTGAAACGGTAGTCGGGGGCAGCCTCGGGATCGAACTTACGAACGGGTAAGGCTGGCACTCCCTGGTAATGAGAACAACAAACTTCGTTCAGCGCATATATCTTGGCCCTACCAACAGTACGGACGGGGATTTGATCACAGCTTCCTTGCCCATCTCAATTACGATGTCGCGCATGGAGCTTGTTAGCGTCTGCTCTCGATGGCGGGTAGATGCCGAAACACTGGCGTATTTTTAGGTACTCATTGTCTCTGTGCCTGGAAGCGTTGGAAGTATCCGGTCGCGATCGAGGCTGTGGTCAAAGTGGGTGAATGAATAAAGGGTCAAAGTGAATGAACCTTACCTAGGTATGGACTGGAGAAATCGTTGCGCCCCTTTTCGTTGGGCTGGGCGACAGCCGCAGCAGTTTACAGTACTGAACCCCCTAAGGCCTCAATGTGGCGCGTTCGTTGCGCGCGGGGAACTCCGTGTCTTGGGTTGTGGGTCCGACCGAGATCGGCGCTGGAACTTAGTGTGCATGACGTCGTGGTTCAGTAGGCTGGCACCCGGTCGCCAAACACAAACTTGCTCTTGCGAAAGGATTCTGTTATCTTGATCCCGTATGAAATAAAGATTCTGAATAGATAGACCCACGGAGAACTACGAGGTCTTTTTGCTAGCTATATCGATCTTACCATTCCTTCATTGTACTTGTCATCAAAGCTATCGCAATCATACCGTGAACCAAAGTACCATCTCAACGACCAGCCCGAACCAGGACCAGACCGCAGTCTGAGTCAAAGGCGCACTCTATTCATCTTACTATACTCGTGAAGAGAAGATTTCGCAAAAGAAGTCTCGTTGCTCTGCGTCACGTGTCCAATGTAAGCCTTGGCTTCAGTGTTTCTCAACCGCCTCGCACGGTAAATTCGGCAAGAAGTGTCCGGGTGATCTGCTTGGGGATGTCTGGGCCCATCTCCCGCAGAACCCGCACGCACAACTACTGCATTGTTTTCGATAGCCCGGAAGATTGGCTTCAATACCCCGCATTACTACATGCGGTATGCTGTGCGTGATAGGTCCTCTGATCGCTCCTACGTGAGATCCACAGACAACTGGGCCGATCTGAGCTCGGGATAGAGTGTCTGTTTCATCAATGAACCCCCCGTTCTCTGTTACTGCAGGGCTGTTTTTACGCATGAAACCAAACAATAGTCATTGCTTCTTGTTTGCGCGCTCGTCGTGTGATGATCCGATTGGAGGAGCATCGGAGCATTGGCACGGAGGGAAAGGAGAGAAAGATATACATGATAATAGCATCACGTTTGGTGAATGTCTCCATATGTACCATCTTGCAAGTCAATCGTCCTCTTCCTAAACGACCTTATATTTGTTGTAATTGTTAATATGGACATCAGGGTACGGCGTTCAATAACCAAGTGTATTACTTCAATTTTGCTAACTTCATATACAGGGCCCTCTGTCGAGCGACCAGACTAGGCAGTGCATGTGTTGGAGATCATCGACAAACACTGAATGCTTCCCCAAGAACCCAATCGGCATCGAACTACAAGATCCCGCTGTAGACTACAATACACTAGAGAAGGTTCTGGAGCTCGATCAGAAGCTATCAAACCTGTATAGTGCAATGATGGAGTGCAGCACATGTTCTTCAGACCCAATGCGCGCCATGGCTCTTTTGCATGAGCTGGACGTTCTTTGCACACTTTACGTCGCGGCACAAGCAAAATACGCGACAACCGACAACCAAATCAAGAAAGGCAACAGTGAAAGTTGCGTCGAGTTAGGCGACAGCAAGTTTCAAGTGGGCCGGTTCGTGTTGGACAGTGAGGAATCCAAGGTGGTGGGCCGCATAGTCGTAAAGCAGGGGTTGGATCATCTCCAGAAGAAGCTGCTGATAGTGCAAGCGGAGCAAAAGCGAGCTAACTCTGGCTCAACGAACGACGAGATCGGGGAGAAGGTGCGGGCGATACTATCAAAAGTCTGGGAGGCCTCCGCGTATGGATGTCTGTAGCCGACAATAGAGGCAATTCCCATCATCAGCGTCATGCGCTTCATGAATCTAGATCTCTGTGAATATGTTGTAACGATCCGTCGATCCGAAGGCAAGCCACACCACGTGGGAATCAGCATGGAGCATGGAACAGGACGCCAGGGCTGGCAGGCGTTGAAAACGTGGCAGCCTACAACGGTGACTGACACCGCATCATTGGATTATACCGAGAATGCGAAACGGCTTCTCGGGCCTTAGCATCGGGTCGATGCGGGACATTCTACGAGCGGGCCTACGCCTCAAGTGATCGGTGATGCGGGTACACTTAAGTCCCCCTCTCCCACATGGCTTCAAGGGTACCTAGGTAAATCTACAACACAATCAACATGCCGTCGACCGTTCCTCTCTACGAACTATGCGTACCCCCGCTGCGGAAAGCAATGCAGAACCATTTGGTGGTTTTGAAGAAGGGTGAACAGTGGTGCGATGAGAACGGATATCCGCACTCGAAAGTCCTCAGTGCCAGACTTGCACCGGATATGCATGTAAGTATCTTGCTCACCTCCCCCTTAGAAGACGAAAGCAATAGCTAAAGAATCTTTTCGCAGCCACTCTCACTTCAAATCTTCTTCCAAGTTACCACTGCGACGAAAGCGCTTGAACGTCTTGGTGGCATGGCAGTACCCACGTTCGGGTTCGACGCGGCCTCTTTCCAAGATCTATACACACAGATTGAGCAGGCTTTGGAATGCTTCGAGAAGGCGCAACCCGAGGCGTTCGCTGGGAAAGTAGACATGCCCGTCACGATCGACGTGCCAAACATGTGGCATTTCGAATTGAACGGCTTGACTTACTTGCAAGAGTTTGTTCTACCGAACTTGTAAGTGGTCTTGAGTCTCTTGAATACATGACTGGGTTGCTAACAGATTTGATAGCTTCTTCCACAACGTGACGGCTTACGGAATCATTCGAAATGTCGGGGTACCGATAGGGAAACTACATTATCTTTCGGGTGAAGACCGACTCATCGGAGCATGATCGCACTGCCAGCTCGATCATGAGGGAAACCGAATACCCTGAAGCGTACATTGATGCTAGATCTTTCGAGTCGATTGTCTTCTTCTATTGTAATCTGCACACCTGTTCGTGCCGAACATGGGCGAAGACAGTATAGTCAGCATGCAGACATGTCACGTATCCTAGATGTAGAAGGCGCAATAGGCACCAACAATGGAAAGTAAGGCGCGCAGTTACCCCGCTAGTCCTCTCTCGATTACCTCCCACCTCGCAACACCATCACCCGCGAACCCAAGATGTTCGACAAACTCCGTGGAAAGTCCCCATCCGGGCATTCCAAAGGCGACTCTACCGATTCCACCAAAGACACTTCATCCTTCGCACCCCCACCACCCGCCTACACAGCACCTTCCTCATCCCCATCACAACCCCCATCCACTCATCCCGTACAAACACGCTTCGCATCGCTATCGCTCCATAAAGAAGACCGCCTCCGCTTCCTGCGCTTCCCTGAGCCCATCATCTCCAAGTATCGCGCCACCATTCTCTCAACCCGGCCGCTAGGTATTAATAAAGAGCAGCTCTACGCAAACAGCCACGAGTTCAAACTAAACGGCTACCCATGGCGCGGCTACGGCAAAGAAGGCGTTGAAGCCCGGCGCCTGATGAACGGCGTACTAGCAACACTGCATGCATCAGGCTGGCTCTTGACACTCAACACCGATATTAGTAAGAGTGCAATGGACAAAGATACTTTACTCTTCCGATTCCAGAACCCAATTCCTGTGCATCACGAATGGTGCGTCATAGCATTCAGTCGCCAGAACCGCCTTCGCTTCATCGACGCGCCTGCTTCGTTGTACGAGCCCTTCCCGGCTCGTGTAGGTGCGGATTGTATCTTGGAGTCTGGGTTGAAAGAGCAAGGGGTGTGGGAGTGCAAACTCAGGGGCAATCCATGGCAGGCTAGTGGGGAGGAGACGATGCGGGTGAGGGAGTTGTTGATTGTGTTGGTCGAGTTGTTGGAGGAGGAGGGGTGGAGTGTGTATGCTAGTATTGATCAGAAGAGCAGTGGGGGGCAGGGTGTTAGTGAGACAGATACTTGGCATTGTTGTAGGGTGAAGGGGTGGGAGAAGGGTATGCCGGTTTATATGAGGTGAGGAGGATAGGTGTGTGGTCAAGACCTTCCAGGTCGATGCACGGGATTTGTACTGGTAGCATGTACTTTTGAAGTCTGTATTGCTTGATGTAATGGACCTAAATACTCAAACGCCGTCTATGCAAGTTTTCAATTGGGTATACATGAATGTTACAAGTTGATCACTGAGCCCTTTCATACTCAAGAGAGAGGGCTGCCAATCTCCTTCTTCACCCAGTTTTCTAATCCACCGAGAGCGATGATCTCTTGCACGTTGGGAGGTAGCTCGCCGACCTTGACGTTCCACTTGGCGCCATTTGGTCCTTCTTGTACAGAGACGGTACTCCTGCGAACATCCCATTCCAGGGTCCAGCCAGTGCGGCGGGTTAGTTGCTTGGCTTGACTTGGCTGAGCAGCAGCGGCGGGAGGTGGCGAATCAAGCGACTCGCTGTTATTGGAAGGCTCCTTAATAGCCTGTTGTGAGGATGTCGCATCCTTGGAAGAGAAGACCTCGCGGAGACGGTTGGCTAGCTTGGGTACCTCGACACCCATCAAAGCATTGTTGATGCTGTTTCGGCTGAAGATGTTACCAAAGCTACCAGAGACGACTAGCGGGATGCCCTTGGCCAGGATAGCAGTTGCGGCCTGCTCACGGCTGCTACCGCAACCGAAGTTGAAACCGGATACGAGTACGTCGCCGGCCTTGGCAATCTGACCAAAGCTGGGGTCGTAGTTCTCCATGCACACTTCCGCCATCTTCTCGCGGGTAACGTCGTCTTGGTATGTGTATTTACCGGGGTAGATACCGTCGGTGTTGATGTTGTCTGCATCGCAGAAGACAATCTCACCGCTAATCTTCTCAGGGAAGCCGGGGAGGATCTCGGTCAGCGTCTCGGCTTCCGATCCTGGTGCCGCGGGTGGGTTGACAGATTGTGTCTCGGGCTCAGCGTTGCCGAACGTATCGATGGCAGCCTCAGCGTCCTTGATGGCCTTCTCGAGCATGTCCTCGATTGTCATCATGCGTTCTTCTTCAGGAACACCATCGCCCTCTCCACGTCGAACACCTTGGTAGCCTTCAGGAGCCTCGTACCATCCCGGGCCAGAAATTATGCCCGACAGGGCACTTGCAGCAACTACTTCAGGGCTAGCAAGGTAAGCCTTGGCGTCAGGCGAACCCATACGACCCTTGAAGTTGCGATTACTGGCGCTGATACCAACCTCACCAGGTTCGAGAAGACCGGTACCAAGTCCGATACAGGGGCCGCAACCGGAAGGTAATGGTTTTGCGCCAGCTTCCAAAAGCGCCTGCCAGTCACCAGCCTCTTCTGCGGCTTTTTGTTCAGGAATTGACGCGGCAGCAATGTAGAAGTTGACATGGTCAGGGATCTTGGGAATCTTGCCGCCATTCAGAACGGCGGCATCCTTGAAGACGTTGGCAGCGGCAGCAATATCGGAAGCGCGGGAGTTGGTGCAGGATACGAGGTAAGCCTTATTGATGGGGATGTTTTGGTTCTGGAGCTCGAGCAGTGGGGTGGCCACCTTGACGGAGTTGGGACCGGAGACATAGGGTGACAGAGTTGACAGGTCAAGGAAGAGCTCCTTGGCGTATACCGCTCCCTTGTCCGCAGCCAGCGCAGGCTTGAAGATGTGACCCATCTTCTCACCAACGATACCAGTAGCAGTGAACAGCTTATCAATACGTTCGTGGACAAACTGTTGTTGATGGTGGTCCTTGGCCTGTCCTTCTCCCATAGCTGCCAGAGTGGCCCTTGCGCGAAGCCAGCCGTGCAGGGTAGAGTCGATAGGGAATAGACCCGTAAGCGCACCCCATTCGGTTGTCATGTTCGCGATAGTGAGACGATCGTCGATGGGAATGCTGCCCAGGGTCTCGTCAGTGCCGGTGAACTCGATGGCGTGATTGAGCACTTCGTCCTTGTTGAAGAGGCCAGCCAGAGCAACGATGACATCCTTTCCAGTCACACCCTGGGGCATTTTGCCATTCAGTGTGACTTTGGCCACGGGCGGAATCTGCCACCAGGTCTTGCCCGTTGCCCAGATACTCGCCGCATCTGTGCGCACGACAGGTGTACCCAAGCATCCGATACCGCCGTACATGTTGGAGTGGCTGTCAGAAGCTACCGCGAGTGTTCCCGGCCAGGCGTAGCCCTCCTCTACCATGATCTGGTGGCCAATGCCTCTGCCAGCGGGGTAGAAGACGACGTCCTGCTTCTGCGCGAATTCCTCGATCTGGCTGTACTTCTTCAAGTTCTTCTCCGTCTTGTTTTGTACATCGTGGTCGAGCGTCATGACGATTTGGTTGGGGTCGTTGATCTTGGTGGCTCCGATGCCCATGAACTTGAGCGCCACAGGCCACGAGTTGTCGTGTGTCATGCATTTGTGCGGTTGCAATGTCACGTAGTCGCCCGACCTGAGGACTTTGCCCTGCGCAACTCCGACGGCATGTCGCTGCACAATCTTCTCGGTGAGAGTCTGGGGTGTTGCGGGCGTCTCATTGAGCGAAGAGAGGAAGCTCGCCGCCGGGCTCTCCTTCATCGAGGGAAACACATCATGGGCATCGCGACGGACGGCGGTCGTGGCAAAGGATCGGGGTGCGAAACACGGTCGAGGCGAGAGCGAGGCGGCACGAAGAGCAAGACTTGCCCGGGGCTGCATTTGACATTAGAGGATACATGGCCGGCGATGAGATTCCCGACATACTGCTAGTTGCCTGCGACCCAGGAGCCGGGCTGCCCGTAGCGACATGGCCATTGCTGTGGTGGTGCTTGAGCTGGCAGCAATGTGGTGTTTGCAGCAGACGGCCGTGATGCGCATCCCCAGACCAAAATTCGCGACCCACCCGCGCACCGAAACCGGCGTCAGCGGACTTGCGGCGCCTGCCATTGGGTGCAGCCGGACACCTGCAATGACTTCGCATAATGCTAACAACTCCCACGCGGGGACATGTAGGATCCGGGGCAAGCCATATTTGAGTACTCTGCATGAGGGAGCCACCATGTCCACGCCTGCGTGTTGCATGCTAGCCCGAGATCGGAAGCAACTTTTGGCAAGAGGTTGGCATTGGAGTCATCCGTATGACGCGACCTGAGAAGACTTGCACCAGACAAACCGCCCCTCTTTGATCAATTTCTCCCAAGTATCTCCGACTAACTCTGCACACCCACTACTAATCTGCAAGCCCGTCGTCACCATGGTCAACCGTTCCGACGTCAACTACTTCGGCGCTGGCCCCGCACCCCTGCCCACCGAGGTCCTCGAGAAGGCCTCGCAGGTGCTTCTAAACTACAAAGACAAGGGCATTGGCCTCTGCGAAATCTCCCATCGCTCGCCAGAAGCCAACGAGATTCTTGCCGACACCAAGAAAGCCCTGAGCGACTTGCTCGAGATCCCGGACGACTACGAGATCCTCTTCCTCCAGAGCGGCGGCAGCGGCGAGTTCAGTGCGACCGTATACAACCTCGTCTCGATATGGGTCGAGAAGAAGCGCGCCAAGATTGCGGAAGAGGTGGGCGACAACAAGGATGAGGTGGTGAAGAGGCTGCGCAAGGTTGTCGACGAGGAGCTCAAACTCGACTACCTCGTCACCGGCTCTTGGTCGCTCAAGGCATCGCAAGAGGCAGCGCGTCTTGTGGGAGCCAAGCATGTCAACGTGGCCACCGACTCACGCAAGATCAACGACGGCAAATTTGGCAAGATCGCTTCGGAAGACCAGTGGAGCCTGACTCCGCGTTCCAAGGGCGGGCCAGCCTTCGTGTACTTTTGCGACAACGAGACCGTCGACGGAGTCGAGTTCCCGTCTTTCCCTCAGAGCCTTGAGGGCGACGATGCACCCCTGGTCTGCGCCGACATGTCGTCAAACTTCATTTCCCGGAAGGTTGATGTGCGCAAGTACGCCATCATCTTTGGCGGCGCCCAGAAGAACATTGGCAACACGGGTATCGCAATCGTCATCATGCGGAAGTCGCTCCTTCCGCCACACTCAACACCCGCCTCGCCCGACCTGATGAGAGAGCTCAACCTATCAGTTGGCCCCATTGTGCTCGACTACCCCACCATCGCGAAAAACAACTCGCTTTACAACACACTGCCCATCTTCGATGTCTGGGTGGCTGGCCAGGTCATGTCCGGACTCGTCAGCTCCTATGGTGCCAAGCGCATCGGTGGTCAAGAGGATGTCTCCAACGAGAAGGCGCGGCTTATCTACGATACGCTTGAGAAGTACTCCAATGTCTACCAGGTAGTGCCAGACAAGTCTGTACGCAGTAGAATGAACATATGCTTCCGCGTCAACGGTGGTGATGCGGACAAAGAGAAGGCCTTCCTTGCAGGCGCAGAGAAGAAGGGCCTGCTAGGTCTGAAAGGACACCGCAGCGTAGGTGGCATCCGTGCCAGTAATTGTAAGTGGCCCTATAACTCCCGTCTTATTGATCCCGCTGTCAGACATGGTTCGAGTCGTGCCTTCACAAGGCATGCTTGGGTACGCGGCTTCTGGCCGACATGACCGAAAGTACTCGATCTAGGATACGGCCTGGGGAAAAGCCCCATTAGTGACTCAGGCTAACTCCTTTCGTGCTCTAGACAATGCCGTCTCGCTAGATGGCACCAAGCTACTCGTCTCGTACCTTGAAGAGTTTGCAAAGTCGGCTTGAGTCAGGCCTTGCGCAGCACTGTGTATCAGTCCCATTCAAGGGAAAACTTGAACACCGTGGAGCCTTCATCAACGCTACATTTTCTTGTTTGCTTATTTCTGGCTTATTGTAGGCTGCAGGCTGCAGGCCTGTTCAATGCCCTCCGAAAAATAATACCCTCCTGTCACAACCGTGTCATTCAACAAGACACCTGTGAACAGCAAAATCAAGTCCCAGTCTACAAGTTCAAGTCTTATCAGGCCTGATCCTTACCACGAGACCCAACTAGACTGCTTGTATCCACCCGGTTCATGATTTGCATTATCGGAGAATACTATGAAGCACACCCTTGTGCCTCGTGCTGTGGCTGTGACTATGTAGAGGCTGTGCCTTGGTGTTCTGGAAAGTTACCATTCCTAGTATGACTACCACGATGCATTGACGAACTTCGTGCACTGCCTGTTGTAGTAAGATTTGCAAAGCCTTCTCTGATCTATCTTGGTCTTGGTGGCTTGCCAGGTCAAACTTCAGACCACGGCGGTTGTGACGAGACGTCTGAAGTGCTTGGGTGTAGACGTGACTGTACCGCTGTGTAGGCGCCTTGATTAGACCTGTCGGCGGCTACTAGGGAGTGTGAAGATGTGAATACTGATCATTGTATGGTGTCGCGCTCTCGGCGCTGGGCTTGCGTCTCGAGTATGTTGCTTTTCTGCAGCACAACTCTCTACCACTCGGCGGTACCAGTGGTTTGGGAGTCAGTTCTGTGGAGGCCCAGGTGCGCTGGGCTGCGATAACACACGATCTTCCATCTGGGCTTCTCAATCGGTTCCTTCCGCCTTGCATGCTGATGGGTCTTGCATCCTTCAATCTCACACCCGCGAACGGTTCCTATACGTCGCGTGCGTAAACCGGCCTGCGCACTAGGCCCAATGCAGCAATGCCTCGTGGCTTTACACATCACCCTCCGTTTTCTATAATATATTGCTTATACCTTCCAGCTAACCATCTTTGCCACGGACGTGTCGTGGGCTTGCGAGGCTTCCCCGGCGAACGTTGACCCGGCAGGGGTTCTGGAGTTCGCTGTGTCTCGGACAGGGTCGAAGCGAGGATCTGCGGCACAGTCTAAACCCAGCAAGCATCAGAACTCTAGTCCGACCACATCCACCTCACCACCACCGACGATGCGCCACTGTCTACATCAGCGCTTCCGCGCTGGAAATAGCTGTCCAGGAACCCAAGTATAGTGCTCAGCGTCAGATGAAATTGCGCGCTTCAGCAGGCCGAACGACTTGACGAAGATGGGTCTGCGGTGTTGAGAACCAAGGCACGTTCACCAGCGGGCCATGTGGAGACGGCCGCTACGGCAACGTCAAGCAATGACGTCGCGCTGACCCTGTCCAACCCGGTCCATATCACAGCAGCTACGAGAGCGACAAGAGGCTTTCCAAGGCAGGTGGCTGCTGTTCGGCGCAACGGTGCCTACGCGGGTCTCGCTGCTTCCGCTGGCCGGGCTACCTGGCAGAATGCGGGTGGCTCGCATGAGGTTGAAACCCACTCCCACCCATTGCGGGAAGATGCGACCTGTAATATGAACTGGCTGGATCTTTGCTAATGCGGGTCTCTTCAGCCAATGACCGGATAGACGCCTGAGGACCGCTGTTCCGAAACCGTGCGCAGCAGCTATCGCCCAGTGGTTTTGTCATATACCGTTTGGAGTCTCATACCCGTCTCTTGTCTCTTACGTCTAATGCTCACGCTCTTTCCCCTTCTTTCGTTGCTCTGCTGGCAGGCTTAGCCATTTCCTTCTTTGACGCTGAGCTGGTTACTCTTTCGTTTACGACGTCAGTCACACGGTCTCCATGAATACCTAGTCGTTTTCCTTTCTTCAGCCGCTGCTGGTTACCAGCGAGACAATTCTATTCCTTCTACACCCGTTGTAACTAGAGCCGGCGAGATGGAATCATGGGCCGACCATTTCCCTCAGCTCGAGGTCCGATCGCACTTCAACTTAACTCTCAACACGTCAGCTGTTCGCCAAGTTCCCTGGACGCAATCAAACACGACGAGAACTCTCATCGCGAGTCTACAGCTTCAACAGGTACAAACGCTTCGGACGACACATCTTACCCTTGGAGCTTTCAGCCTTGCCTTGACCTTGTTGACGGTTCATCGGATCGTGTCGGATGCGCGACGAGCTGCAGCTCTTCAGGTTCTCCCAAGAAAGAAGTCAGTATAGCATGATCGGAGTTTGCGACATTGCTAACGAGAACTAGGAGATTCAATGCTCTTCACAATGTCCACCCTGCCGAAACCTTTCCGCTTGCGTTGGCCTGCGGTGCCGTTCTACAACAAATTATCTTCGTATCAGTGCAGGGCACTACACTTCATAGCGTGTTCTCTAGAAGTTGCCGCGGACTTGCGATGGTCACATTTCCTGGTATGCTCGCATACACTACATTTGCGAACATTTAGACTAACGAACAGCAGCTATCTTTCTGATCGGATTCATTACCTTGGTCTTCGGTATCGAGGTAGCAGTCAGGGCCTACAAACAAGACCGATTCGCCCCACGCGGCAAGTGGAACACGATAATCTGTATCGCCGTTGTATCGTTCATGCTTCTTCTCTCCTGGATGCCGACTGTTGCCTGGCCGTCTCCGAACACTTGCTTTGGCGGGCTTATCTGGTTCCCCATGCGGTACGATCTTCTGATGCTGATCTTCCTTTCAATTCTTGTTTTTCTGCTGCTCATGGTAGCCGCTATGATCAGTATTCAGCTGATGAGAACGCCTGACCTGGACCATAATGAGCGAATCTCAGCTTCACGTATGACTTACTTCTTGATCGTTACCGCACTAATCTACGTGAGTATCTACACTACCTTTCTAGCCTCCCTAGCTAACAATCATAGACTCTCGTCATCCCTGTGGAAGTACAATCTCTTCGTCGAGAATTCATGGAAGCATTAGCCGCTTCTCGAGTCGCTGAAATCTCGCTGTTCTCGTCAGGAATGGTCATCACGTTCTTCCACCTCTTTCTCCGTACGAATGCGACACGAATGGTCATTCGTCCCATCGAAGAACTCAAGGCGCCCGCGAAACAACAACGACCGAAGATCCGTTTCTTCGGTCCTAGCGATTTGGAGATGCAGATCAGTGGCCCGATGGCATTGCAGACAACTCAGCGTTTACACAGTCAACAGGGTCTGATCGATGTTGGGCCAGAAAAGAACCGTGGTGACTTTGATCCCCAGTACTTTGAACGACCAGAGCGGGCTTTGACACCGGCATCGACCAAACCTGGAAGCCCTATCGATCCTACAAAGTGGCCTCTTCCACCTGCTCTCGACTACGAAACTACGAAACACGAGCGCAAGCAAAGCCAAAGCTATTCCTTGTTTCCCACACGCGCTGAGGAGGTACCTCGTCTTCCACCAACCGTTTACGATCCAAAGGCTACGTCAGACGGTTCCTCTGTTTCCAAGCTTGCCCTGCGACGATTTACTCGACGCGGCTCGGTCACGAATGTCGGCGACGCTTGGGACTTTTTGAGCAAGCCCAAACTACCGTTTGCAGAACGGCACCAACGCATGCAAAGTACCGATAGCAGTGCAACCGTCCAAATTGGTCTCCGCTTCTCAGTTGCGCCTGCCACGCTTGCAGCAGCTAAGTGCACACGGCTTGAACGAGATACCCCTCCGTTGAAGCGAGGTGCTACCGACAGCAGTGATGCTTCGTTGGCTCTTCCGATCCAGAAGCCTTCTACGACCAGCACATCGCCATCGCAGGAGATGCTTAGCTCCAGCGTATTCTCCCCTCCTCCCCCGCGTGGTGAGTCGCCAACACGACCCAGAGCGAACAGCCCAGCGCGGACTCCACCTTTCCCCATCACACCGGCAGGTCAATCCAGCGCTTACCTCCAGGCCCAACGCGAGAAGGTGCTACCCTCCCCACCCCCGAAGTCGCCAGCCTCCCCTCAACCCTCTGCTACTCCGGCAAAGCCTGCTGTCCCCGAACCTGCCTGCATCAGCGGACTGCGCATGAACCCTGTGACACTCGTTACAGCAGTTGGTTCACCTACAACATCATCGCAGCCAGGCACACCTGCGTCAGTCAACAACCTCACGCGAACGAACAGTGGCCATGCCGCTCCGTCACCTACAGCCCGTATTCCACTTGGCGCGGGCACGATGCAACGGACGCCACGCAACGGCTGGATCTAAGCGGAGCCTGAGGCTACACGAAACGCGCGAGGGTACCTTTCCCAACCCTATTTCCTTTCTTACTGCTAGACCGGAATCGGCAACGAGCCGCCTGTACGATTAACTGGGAAGACGCGAGTTTCTAAATTTCTTGTTTCCTTTGCTCTCGCGACTCTGGGTGGTTCGCGTCTGGGCAACATACCCACACAGGCGTTACGGTTTCGGTTTCATGTTTTGCACAACACCTCCTGCGACACAGCGTCTCGGCACATTGGTCAGGGTTCTAGCCCCAACTCCAGCTTGCCCTTTGTCGCATGAAGGTTCATGGGAACTTCAGACCCTTTCCGGTCAGGTCAGGCAAGGTCTTGACTCTCGACCTTCCATCCGTCACGTCGCTTACGATACGAACATTCATTCACGAACCACCGGTGCTGCGCACCCTGCTACGGAAATGAGCACGGCACGTCCGCTCTTTATACCCCCACACCATCACCTTTCCCATCTCTTCCTCTTCCTCTTCGTCTCTCTTCGCCCCCCTTGTCTTCCCACTGTTGTCTTTCTTCACGTCTCGCTTAGCACCCCCATTGCCTCTTCCATGAGCTCTTGTTAATAACCCGAGGAGATAGAAGGTGTTGAGCCTTTGAGTAGTATAGCCCGATTCTCTGTTAGTCTCTTTGATCAGATTGAAAGGAGCAGAAATATAAACAAATAAAAACCTTCTCCATATTGCCTTGCTATCATACACCCTAATGATTACTGCTCCGTTGCAGAACTCGCTTTCACCCGAGTTGTCGCCCCCGAGTTGTCACGCAAATGATACGTCCAAGGTATATACAACCCTACATCCTGCCAGCACCTCATACAAGAAAAAAACTAAACATGTCTGCAGACTACATTAACCCATAACCTTGCAAAGTAGGTGACCTAACGTTAACGTAGGCTCTAGGCTGTTCAGTTTTTCCCTAGGTCGGCGTGCCGGTACCTTCAGAATTCCACAACAAGCATCTCTGGGGTAACCCATCCACGGCCACTCTTTCCGACCACGTGCCAGTCACACCATCATGCGTTCCGCTCGAAACAGGAGGCGAATGGAAAACGAAAGATCTACGCTTGAAGTTTCCACCCGGGTTCCGGCTTAGCTGGCCTCGAGCGGACCAGGATGTGATTTGGAATACCAGACTTGAGACGAACGATGCTAGGGTCTTGACTTGCCAGTCTGCCATTGTGGACCGGGCCAATCGATGCCGAGATCTCATCGTACCTCGTAACGAGATATCTGGAGGCCTGAGGAAGACAAGACGCAGATGATGACGACGACGAAACAGAATCCGGACACGTTGATATCATTTCTTCATTTCTACGTAATCTTATATAACCATGACGCTTAGTATACAACAGAACGGCAGGATTTCCCCCCTTCATCGCCTCCAGCGTTGCCAGAACTTCCAGCCCACCTTCTCGTTGCCCTCTTCCGGCATACGGAACTTGGTCTGCTCTTTCCCTCTTCGTCTCCCCACCCACGCGAACCAAATCACGAGGCCTACTACCATGAAGGCTACAACGAGTAAAGTCTGTAACGGCTCTGCGAATACGGCTCTGCTCAGCAAGAAGAGACTGACGCAGCAGAAAATGATGGGTGTAGTAATCCATGTCTTGTATGGTCGTTCTAGATCGGGCTCGCGGACGCGTAGGATGATGAGGCCGAGGACGGTTTGGAAATAGAAGGCGTATCCTGCTACGCCATAGAAGGTCACGAGGGTGTCGAAGGAGCCGACGACGATGTAGATTGCGGTGAGGAGGGCGTTGAGCACCATGGCGGATATGGGCGTGAAGAAGAAGCCTGCGTCGGCATCCGCGAACCAGGCTACTAGCTTCTTTGGTATCTTGCTCTTCCCTTGTGTTGCGCTCATGCTGTGCAAGCGGATTGCCCGGTGGTTCTTTCCAAGACCGATGTTGCCAAACAGAGCGGGAAGATAGCCTTCTTTGCCGGCGGCGTATACTAGGCGGCCAGACGTGAAGGTCGTCGCGTTGAGTGCGCCAAAACATGACCCCGAGACGAACAGTGCGAGTATGAGGGAACCGACGGGACCGAAGACCTGCGATCCGAAGGCCACTGCGACGGTGTTGGACGATTCGATGACCGAGGTCGGGAGGACGAGGAAGTAGGATATGTTGGCTAAGATGTAGCACAGTATGACGAGCGGAAGCGAAGTGTGGATGACGCGGGGAAGGTCGCGGGTTGGGTTCTTGAATTCGGCGGTGACGTAGTTTACCTGCTGTCGTTAGTAGGAGTGGGCAGAGTTTCGAATCGCTTGACGTACATTGTCCCAACCGTCGAAGGCCCAGAGCCCGGCGTAGAGTGCCACTGCCCAGTTGCTAACGTTTTCGCTCGTGTCATCGAACCAACCGCGATTCTTCCAGTCCTCATTCGCATCGCCCTTGTATGAGAGCCCAGTCACCGCAACTACGATACCGATCACCGTGACTCCCGTAAGCGCGAAGAACTTCAGGAACATGAAGACGTCGGCGCTCCGTGTGCCCAGCTTCGTGGACACACAGTTGAGTAGCGTGACAGCCACAAGTCCCACCAGAGCCACGCCCTTGTTCAACCATGTGCTCGCGTCCACAGCTTCGGCGCCAATGATAGCGCGCACCAGATATTCTCCAAAGATTATGGCAATAATGGCTGCCGAGCCCGGTTTCAGCACCACGACTGCGCACCATGTGAACAGGAATCCCGCCCACTCTCCAAATATCTTGGACAGATAAACTTGTGCGCCGCCGTTCAGTGGTATGGCGCCTCCGAGCTCGGCGTAACTCGCGGCACCCGTCCATGCCAATATTCCAGCGACGATCCAGACTATGAGAGACGCGCCTGGCGACCCAGCATTCTTGTTAACCTGGGATGGCGAAGAAAAGATGCCACTCCCTATTATAAGCCCAACGACTAATGACAGGCCATTGAGGTATGTCAGGCTCTTGTTCTTCTCCAATGAGCCGCCGTTAAGCGCATTCGACGGGTCTAATGCTGGATTGGAGGGTGCACCCAGTGCTGTATATCCCTGCGCGGTACTAGAGAGAGGGAATAGGTTCGGTGCGAAATCGAAGGCGGAGGACACGCTGTAGGAGCGATTGTGCCGTGGTCTGTTCGGATCGTGACCAGCCGGATTCAGTTCTGACAGAGGGTCTTCATCATCGAACGACAGTCTACGCGAGGAAGGCGCGCCTGAGGCCGAAGACTCTTCGGAAGTCCGCCGTGAGGGGTGCGACGAGGAGGCCAGCGAGGCCAGTTCGAGGGAATCGCGAGTCGGCGGTGGGAGGTTGGAGTAGCGACCGGCGGCCATGATGCGGAGAGAATGTGGGAGAGATGCGCGCAACCCTATCTGCTAGCCATGGACGGTAATTATGATATGATGGGCGAGGCAGAGTGTAGGGGCAGTATCCAGCACCCCTTTCAAGCATTCACCGCTGCCGTGTATGAGTGGTGCAGCTTGCATGCGCTGTTGAAACCGACGGGCTCCTATGCCGTCATGGGACTAGCTCCCGTTTGAGCGCTAGAGCTGCATCCAAAAAATGTGGGAGTCGTTCAGGACTGGATGCTTGGCGCAGATCCGCGCATCCTCCAGACCATGAATGCGACACGTCCACGCCATGCGCATACGCCCAGGTGATGCGTCGTCTCAGTCTGCAGTCCGTAGGCTGGCGGCGCCCTCCACGCCTCCCAGTCCTCCGACCGCGCATAGCCCTACGATGGGCGAGTACACTGGAGAGAAAGTCAAGAGCTGAGGGAATCAAGGTCGAATCGCTCACTGCGAAATGGCAACCACATTGGGACCAGCTGTCTGCCCAATGGCACGACCTACGGAAGTCCGATAGGGGAGACGCATATGTGCTGCCCATGTTCCCATACCCCTCCGGCACCCTCCATCTAGGCCACCTGCGGGTATACACCATATCCGATGTTCTCTCCAGATACAAGCACATGCAGGGCTACAAGGTCCTACATCCCATAGGCTGGGATGCGTTCGGTCTACCGGCCGAGAACGCAGCCATCGAGCGAGGGGTACACCCGGAGAAGTGGACGCTGCAGAACATCGAGACTATGAAGAGTCAGATGAAGGAAATGGGTGGTCGGTGGGACTGGGACGCTGTATGGAAACCGCTCAGGATGTTTAGGCATGGGCTGATCTCTGTATGTAGGAAATACGAACGTGCGATCCCCATTTCTACAAGCACACCCAGCGCATCTTCCTCATGCTCCATGAGCGCGGCCTAGCCTACCAAGCCAAATCCCTCGTGAACTACGATCCCGTCGATAAAACCGTCCTCGCAAACGAACAGGTAGATGCCAATGGCTGCTCGTGGCGCTCCGGTGCAAAGGTTGAGAAGGTGATGCTGAAGCAATGGTTTCTAAAGATCAAGGAGTTCCAGGAACCCTTGCTAAAGGACCTGGACGCTCTTGCACGAGACGGCAGGTGGCCTGAGAAGGTTCTTGCCATGCAGAGGAACTGGATCGGCAAGTCTGAAGGCGCGCAGCTTTGGTTCGATATTATCTCGACCGATAGTGAAATGCGCTTTGAGCCTGTCGATGTCTTTACCACCAGAGCAGACACGCTGTTTGGAGTACAGTATATCGCTCTTTCTTTGCGTCATCCGATTGTTCAGCAGCTAGCCATCGAAGACGAAGAGCTCCGCGCCTTCATGGAGCGAGCAAAGGACCTTCCCTCGGACACCAAGGAGGGATTCAAGCTGAGGAGAATTGTAGCGCGCAACCCCCTCGCCCATGTTCAAGGCTCCACCGGACCCTCCGTACCTGTATATGTGGCTCCATACGTTTTGGACGACTATGGCTCTGGTGCTGTAATGGGTGTCCCAGGCCACGACACTCGGGACCATGCGTTCTGGCGAAAGAACGTCGGTGATGAGCCAGTCAGAGTCGTCGTATCTGCCAAGAAAGGCTCACTACCTTTGCCGCTTGTACCGCGCAGTGGTGAGGACGTCCCCATGACCGAAAAAGGCTTTGTTGCTGCAGACATATATCGCTTCGGGGGCATGACGTCAAAGCAAGCCGCGAATGCGGTTGTACAAGCAATTCTCGATACTGGAAAGCCGGCTGAAAAGAAAGCAAACTGGCGACTCCGTGACTGGTTGATAAGTCGGCAACGCTACTGGGGCGCGCCTATTCCAATCATCCACTGCGAATCTTGTGGTGCTGTTCCTGTGCCTGAGGCAGACCTTCCGGTTGAGCTACCGAACCTACCCGACAGCTTCTTCGAGGGCCGCAAGGGTAACCCGTTAGCAGAAGATGAGAACTGGAAGAAGACCTCTTGTCCTAAGTGCGGCTCGGCTGCTGAGCGCGAGACTGATACTATGGATACCTTCATGGACTCGTCGTGGTACTTCTTCAGGTTCCTAGATCCGAAGAACGAGCACGCCTTGGTCGACCCGACAAAGACCAATACTGGCATGCCGGTGGACCTCTATGTCGGCGGCGTAGAACACGCGATTCTCCATCTTTTATACGCGCGCTTCATCTCCAAGTTCCTGGCAACCACTCCAACATGGCCAAAGGGCTACCTGACGAATGGCGAGCCTTTCACGCGTCTCATCACTCAAGGTATGGTGCATGGAGAGACCTTTACAGACCCCGAAAATGGCCGCTTCCTACGCCCCGATGAAGTCGACTTGACCAATCCTTCCAAGCCTATCATCAAGGCCAGTGGAGTCACTCCGAACGTAAGTTTCGAGAAGATGTCGAAGAGCAAGTACAATGGAGTGGATCCAGGTGCCACGATTGCCAAGTATGGCGCAGACGCCACGCGTGCGCACATGCTTTTCCAAGCACCCGTCAGTGATGTGCTTGAGTGGGATGAGAAAAAGATCACTGGCGTACAACGATGGTTACACCGAGTCATCAAGCTGTCGACCGCACCATGGATACCTGATGATGTGACGGACGAGTTCGTTATACCCACACAGGTTGACAGGAAGCTCCTCAGTATCCTACAAGATGCTTCGACAAGCGGCGAATCTGAGAGCGCCACACGCGAAACCTTGGTGTCCACCCTTAAATCAGATGAGGCTCAGCTTTGGATCAAGACACAAGAGACCATCGCCAGTGTTGCAGAATCGTACTCGCAAACATACTCTCTCAACACCATCGTCAGCGATCTAATGACACTGACAAACACTATCTGGGACACGCCGCATGCGTCTCCGGTCACACCAATTCTCAAATGGTACTCCATGGCCCACCTCGTTCGCATGCTGGCCCCAATTGCTCCCGGTGTCGCTGAGGAAGCCTGGCATCAACTGAACACATGCACTGCGACTCAGACGAACGACAGCATCATCTCAACAGTCTTCGCAACAGGCTTCCCAACCGCAGACCTCGCCATCATACCGCTCCTCACCACAACGCGCAAATGTGTTGTCCAAATCGATGGCAAACGCAAGTTCGACGTGGATATCCAAAAACTCCCCAATTCGGTCAACCCCAAAGATAGTCAAGCTGTAACCAAGTTTGTGCTGCGTAAATTGGTACAGACTCCAGAAGGGAGGGAGTGGTTCGATAGACAGACAGGTAAGATCTGGAAGTTGAGTGCAACGGATGAAGAGAGTGAGGAGTTTGCTGTCGTTCCGGCGGGATGGAAGGTCATTGCTGTTAATGGCGGTGCGCTATGTAATTTTGTTGGGCCGAAGAAGCCTAGGTTGGAGAAGGGTCGATGAACATATGTATAAATACAATCTCACATCTCACCAAAGTGTCGTGTACGAAGGATCCTGATGTCTTAAGCTGTGATTCAACTCGTAGGTCGCTAGTCACGAGGGAGCCTAGCCATACCTAAGCTGTGGTTCCTCTTGTAGATTGCCGGATACAGAGGTACTCATTATACCATGCTGCTCTTCATTGCCTAGCTGGCTGAATACAAAAGAACATGTTGTCGTCAAACTGTTGTTGATGTCCTGGGTAGCTGGATACGTGATCTTATGTCCAGCGAGTCTACCATCGGGGCAGATCGCGAATACCTCCAGGCATGGCTTTCGCTGAGTAGCACGTAACTGGAAGTGACGATGTATGCTGCAGTCAAGACACAAAGTTAGGGTGTTCTTGCACTATCTAATGTTGCGCGCGCTCTCACCGCAGTGCCATGGCAACGAGCGTTTGCGCGTTTGCTCTCACCACGCGCTCCACCACAACACAACCGCGCGAATTCAGATCTGTATTGAACTCAATTTGACTGCTCTATATATTGTAATTAATTCAGCTAATTCTCATATAGCAAAGACCTGCAGGTTCGAGTGGAGTGAAACGTGTCTTTACATCTTGAAACAAGCCATAACATCCTTCCGAAGTATTGTTATATTTTTGCCCTTTGTTCGAACTCAGCTTGGTACCGTCCTTAATATATGAATTTCTAGCATCTTTTTTGCCCGCGGGTGCGTTGGCTACGGAGCAGTCGAAGTGAAGGTGAAGACGCGTTTGAGATCGCGTGCTACGCAAAGTGACAGTGACCGAGGAATTATCCGCGGTGAAGGCCTGTTTCTTATTTCTACGCTTGGTGCTGGGATACAAAAGCTGTCTTTTGCTGCCTTCGACTTCTTCTCTCTAATCCTTCTACCTCATCATCTCACTACTTACCTACTACAACACACTTCCTACACACCATCACAACAACCATCACAATGCAATACGCATACAACACCCCCGCTGAGCGCACAAAATTCATCATGATGCGCTTTGGCGACGACATCTACTGGGGACAAGTCTCCTCTAGCCTGAAACAGGGCGATGAGGTCTACAACGCGCTCCGCGCCACCTTCTCCGGGGTTCTTGAACCCACTCAAGACATCATCATCTGGCATCCTGAGCGCGATGAGAAAGTCCGTCTGGACTACCACCACCTTGTCGAGGGCCCGACATACCGCATCGAAGCCACCTTTGGTGGGCGTCAACAAGGTTCCGGCGCTGAGGCGTCTGGCGCCTACAAGAAGGCGCAGAAGTACCTCGAGGCCATTCGCAAGCATTGGGAGTTGGGTGACGACAGCGAGATCTTGCCTGAGTGGATTGCGCCTCGCGACGGTGAAGGCAATTTGGTCGCTCCGTGCGATTGGCCTGCACGCTTTGCCGGTGACGTGCGCAAGCTGAGCGGCCACAGTGTTGGTAGATACCAGGTCGCGATGGGGTATCTGGTCGCAACTGTGGAGGCTAGGCGTGAGCGAGGAGAATACCCGGGCGAAGTGACGAGCGGCGACTGCAAGACCGCGATGGCGCGGATGATGACAGGCACCGCCGACCAGGCGTACGCCCAGCTACCAGAGGAGATAGCGGCTACACAGATGTTCGCGGGTGGCCTGGCAGAGGCGGCACAGCAGGCCCTGGAGGAGATAGAGGGCGAGGGAGCGGCGGTTGGGTCTGGGTACGAGGAGGGCGGCAGATTCAACATCGGTACACACTTCCGATCTGCTTGAGCATTGGGGACCGAGAGGTATACATGTAGTTGCTGATTTTGCTTTCTGAATGTGATGACAATATGAACGTCCTTCAATTCAAGCCCAAACTTCCTGTCTCCTCCGCAAGATCACGAACACTTTTCAAGGCCTTACAGATACCCTTGTGAATCGGCCAGTCCCGCTTCTGATGCTCGACGCTACAGTACCTTGCCGACTTACATTGCGAACATGGCTTCAGCCCCTCGGACTTGCCACACACTTCACAGCTACGCACCATACTGTCGCCCTTACAGAAAATCTTGTGATTTGGCCAGTCTCGCTCCTCATGCTCAGCACTGCAATACATCGCCCACTTAATCCCACACTTCGAACATGGCCTTGACCCCTCAAACTTGCCACACACCTTGCAGGCGTGCTCTGCGTCGTACTTCATTTGCTCCGCTCTGAAGACTTTCATAAGTTCGCTAGCCCCTTCTACACATTTCTTCGTACCGCAAGTTGGCACGATGCCAATGACAACAAACGGTTGGGGCGTGTGGAGTTGGGAGACGCAGAAAGTCTTTCCGTATCTTGTCGGGGCTTCTTTGCAGACTAAGCATTTTGGACCACTCCTTGTGTTGAACTCGTTCTGGTGTGCTGCGATGATTGGAGGCATGGCTTCTCCGAACTCGCGTTCGTATGTTGGGGGTGGGCTCGAGTGCATCTCTGGGGGAATAATGAGAGATGCGGGAATCTCGCAGTAAAAGTCCCAGGGCTTTACTTCTTGGAAGCTTAGAGGCGTACAGTGCATACGTACGGTGCGAATTCCTGGTTTGGGTTGCGCTGTGCTCTTAGCTTTGTCTTTTCCCTGGCTCTGCTTGCTCGACGAGGCGCTGATACTTGGCTGACTGGGCCCAGATTGCTGTTTTCCCTTACTCGGTTCAGTTTTCTTGTTCTTTTGCTGCGCTGGAGCCGTGTTGGGGGTAGACGTCGAGGTGCTTGATGTTCCGTTTTCTTCCTCGTCAAGGAGCTTCCAAGCCTGGCAGGTTTCCTCCAAGTACTCTTTCGCGAACTTCAGGTCTTCGCAAATACGCTTATGTTTCTTCCAATCAGCCTTTTGATGCTCTCTACTGCAATATCTCGTCACCCTACATCTGGCACATCTCATTGCTCCATCCTTCCGCCCGCAGTGGCAGGGAGTGCCATTAGATATTTTGCTTTGGAGATGAGCTGTGGTCATTTCCATCATCGCTTCGTGTGCTGCGATCACTTTTGTCTTACAGGACCGGCTTCCGCAAGTGCCATAAACGTTTATCCTGATTTGCGGAGCATCGAGATGTAGCAGGCACTCCGACCTGAAAAGCAAATCGGTAGCCTTCGAGCTGCAAAACATACACGGATGTCTGGAAACTGTCTGTTTACACTGAGGCCGATGCTTGGATTCGATGTCCAAGAGTGTGGAACGAAGCTGGGCTTTGTATTCGGGCGTCTCTCGAACCTCCAATGGTGCCCCCAATAGATTGGTGGGCACGCTCGCAGCGCCGTCCCAGGAGGGAATGTTCATGACACCTTCACTCCCCCGGTAATTGATGTGGAGTAAGATGTTTTGAGTAGCCATGATTGAAGGTTGAAGGTGGATGAGGAGGTAAATTGAAGCACATCAGAATTGAGAGGTTATGATCAACGCACTGACCAGCATTGATGCGCTTGCTAGCCACCCCTCATGTGCAGACCATTCTAGAAGGATCGCAACAGATCAATTGATCGGTCTCAACACAGAGGTTGACATTATTCAGTCTAACCTCAACCTCTCGCCCTAGCCTTCAATCTCAACGTTCCACTATCCTCTTCCCCACTTTCTTTCTTCAACTGTGCCTCAATCATCCTCCCAATATTTCCTCCATCCTGCATCACACCCCCTCTCAGCAGCTCTGTAATAACGCGTCCTCTAACCACCGTCTCTTCAACCACACCCTCAATATTCTCAGGTCCTATACGCCCATACCAGATACCCGAGCCCTTCAATGCATTACCTTCCATATTGGGAGGTAGGTAGATGATGACATTGCCAGCATACTTGTGCCCACCAATATGACTTATCAAGCCTACATCCGCATCTATACCCCTCCGCTGAAATTCAGAGCGAAACGAGGATTGTAGCAATGGCCCGAGTATACCGCAGCGCTGATCACGGCCGCCGTGCCCGCATATCAAGATCGTGGGTTTGGTGATATTTTCCGCCTTTGGCAGTTCGGTCGCTTTCGACTCGTCGCGAAGGAGATGAGACTTTTGCTCAGCGGAGAGACCATCGTGCATGGAATGGAGATTCCGAGCCTTTAGGTATGCTGTCGCGAAGTTGGAGAAGGCTTCGGGAGTATGCGGGATATCCGGTATGCGTTTGAAGCTCGGGAATAGCAATGCCGTTGTCGCGCCTGCCTTATCACTCTTCGGCAATGAGGAAGCAGTAATGAGGACATTCGTGAATGGCTACATGATGCGGCAACGCGTCAGCTTTCCAAGTATCATAGAATGACCGTACTGGGAAACAGACCTACATCAAACCCAGGACCGCCTTTTCCAATCACACCTTTGAGCCCTTTTACAAACTCCCCGGTCTCGCCCTCCTCCTGCTCGATGTTGCTGACCCAGTCTTCCTTCCCGGTACAGAATATGACCTGTTCAGAGTACGCCGCCATAGTATTCAACAGTGGTGTCTTGCGATCAATGTCTAGATCGGGAGGCGTTGCCGCGCATTCGCAGCTCGGTGACGGACATGATTGCGTGTACGGTATCGCGGATTGGAAGCGCGTACGAGTCGTGGAGAAAGAGCGAAAGGCGCGTGGTACAACAGCCCGAGAGATTCGGGTGAAGGACATGTTGCGAAGTTGGCGTGCGAGATTCTTGGGGGCGATGTGGAAATTGTATGGGCGTTTCGGAAAGCATTCCGCGATGATGACGCGAAGTCGGGGTATTACAGTACACTAGCGCGGGCTCGGAGTTTGGTGCACACCGAAGGTCACAGGCAATTGAAGATTCAGAAGACATGTGGTCGGCAACATAATTGATAATTTTAGAGGGTCTCCTCCATATACGTGTTTGAAGTGCACCTGACTTATCCCAGAATTAACCCCTATCATGTCTCCAGCCATGCATCCCGCCGCTCAAACGCCCGCTTAAAAGGCCACCGCCGCTGTCTCCACCACCGAAACCTCCAGGGCTACCAAAGCCACCGCTCCGACGATTACCACTACCACCGTTGAGTAGCTTGTCGAACTGCTCAATACTTACTATTGCACGTTGCTGTACGTCGTTGTCTGCATCGCGACCCAGCTGCTTAGCGCCTTCCTCGAAGCCCAGTTGGCGAAGGGTGATGGCACGTTCACGCGTAGCGGCTTCATCGGTATGATCTTCTATCCACACCAGATTATGCAGCATCCAGGACAATGCGACGCGGATGTCGCGACGAGGGTGAGTGAAAAGCTGAAGAACATGCTGCATGAGAGTGGTCTGCGAGATGAGAAGAGAGCGGTGCTGAGGCCGACCATTGGCGAGATGGACAAGAATATACACTGCGGCCAGAATGAGTTCGGGGGCGGGATAGGTCGCCCAATTTGGCTGTGCCGGGGTGTTTGTGGAAGAGGAAAAGGGTGTGCGGTGGCTAGTGCTTGGCCAGTAGCTTGGGGCTGTAGCACTGGGTTGAGCTTGTGACATCATCTTCGGCCGGATCTTAGCATCGAGAATTTCGAAGAACCGACTGTGGCCAAAGGTCTTGAGCAGGTGGTCGATCATCTCACCGGAAGCTTTGTCTTCTGAAACAAAGTTCCGGATGAAGTCCAACGCTTGTTCTTGTATACGGATATCGTCGCGCTCGCCGTTAAGCCTGTTGTCCTGTTCGTCGTTCTTGATCTGTTGTAACCGATCGCGAATGTTAGTTGCACTTGTATACCGTGAACCAGGACGTTGATGCCGTCGCATAGACGGTATACTTTCGGTCATGGCGTCATCATCCTCTTCGGATGACGGCTCTTCGTCCACATCCATATGGGGCTCGTCAACCGCATTGAGGATATCGACTTGCTCTCCTGCTGCGTTGGGTGTGCCCATAGCTGGCTTGGATGGTTCTCCATTGAGTACTTGTACGAGCCAGCCAACACCGAGCTCCTCAAGGCATTGTATCTTCATGGCATGTGGTAAGCCTAGGCACAAGTGCTTGAGCGCCCAAAGGCTACCGAAACGAAGGTCGAAGTTTGCGGATCTACATTGTTCGCAGAGCGTTCCCAGTACTCCAGACTCGACGATCTCCTAGTAAATACATTAGCATGGAAAAACCACACAATGAGCATCGTACTTACAGTTCGCATAGGTGACACATCAAGCACCAAGTTGGTGATGACCTCCGTAGCAGCAATCTGCACTTTGACGTTCGGATGCGTTAAGAGCTCGAAGATCGGCTGTGCAACTCCGTGATCGATCAAGCTGGTCCTCAGCACACTGACAGACCTGGAAAGCGACCGTATGACTTTACACGCAGCAATGAGCACCGAATCTGGGTTGCCGTCCTTCGCTGAAGAAGACGCGCCCTGCTCGTTGCTTTCACGGTAAGGAACCAAGGCTTCGATGATGTGCGTTGCAGCGCCCATCTCAATGACCATCTTTCTCAACGCATCTTGGTCTCCTGCTATCGCCGCCAGAGCCAGTAGCACACTCTCTCGATACCTGAACGCGTGCAATACATCGGCGCTTAGTCCAGGTCTGCCCAGTGTGGAAGATGCAGGGTCAATATCTGGGTCTTTCACTTCGTGAGATAACGATCGTGGTTGCCAGAGAGGCTTTGAAGATGTAGCCGGCACATCGAACGACTTCTTGAGGATCTGAATAAGGGTCGGTAGGGTTCGATTATGGACGGCCGCTGTTTGAAGAGTCTTATTTCCTGCAATCAGCTCCGCAAGTACAACTGGCGAGCGTTCCAACATGAATCGCATCTCATCTCTTGAAGCAGGGCTTAGAGTATTAGCTCTTTTCGCTTGCTCTGATGTCGGACTTGAATCTTCAATCATCTTCTCAACGAGAGGGATGATGAGATACGAGAAGTGACGCTCTCGTGATGTCTTGGAAGGGTCGTTCAAAGGCCAACGCTCGCCGAATTTCTTCAGCAGTGCTAGCATGCCACAAGCAGATAGACGTTCTCGGCCTTCACCGCGGCGGGCGACGTATATAAGCCATATGAAGAGCGGTGACTCGGATTCGTCAGTGATCACACTCCGACTTGAGTTCTGCTGCAGCGAGTCCATACTCGGTAGTCGAGAATAGTTGTCCCCGGTGACAGAGCCATAGGCACCAAGCGCCGGCCATTGTTTGATGTACGGATCTGATTTGCTCGCCATCGTCTGTACCCGTGGTATTAGCTTATCCCACGATGCCGCTTGTGTACTTCCATCTGATACATTCCGCTCCTTTGGCCACCCAAAAAGCTGCTGTATTGAGTGTGAATACAGGAAGCGTGCGGTATAGTAATGCGAGTCCTTAATGATGACCGAAATGGCTTCCATAATGTCTGACAAACGAATCCGATCTATCGGCGTCAAAGGCGATTTCTGAACACTGTTCGAGCCGTCACCTCCTGTTGTTGTTGCCTGACCATTGGAATGCCTCCACTCGGTTGCGGGGATACGATCGTCCATGGCGGCGACAGCAGCAAGTTTGTCAGCGAGGAGATCCAGTACTCCCGCATCTACTAGCATCTTCTTCTGATTATCTTCTACGCACGTCTTCGTGATGAGCCGGATCGTCGAGTCAATCTGTTGGTAGGCCTTCATCGTGCCTGTCGGTTGCGCCAGTATCTCGGCCAAGCTGTCAATGACAGGCCTGGTGTATATCGATTCGTTGACGGTAAAGGCGAGAGACGATCGGGAGGATGATTCGGAGTGGTCGAGCCAGGGCTTTTCTTGGTTGACTGCATCGACGATCTGGTTGAGGGTCTTGAGGGTCGTGGTAACGAGTTTTGAAGGTGTCTCGCTGGGTCGTAGCGCTTCAAGCAGGGGAGGTAGTACGTGACCTGCCAGAAGCGGAGCGACGAATGCTGGTCCCCCTGTATGTCTCAAATATCAGCCAACATGTTCCTTCACAGTAGTATCGGTTCGCGATGCGCGCTCACCATTCGCAAGGCTACCGGCAACGAGCGTGGCCTGGAACCTCAACTCATCCTCAGTCGTCCACTCCTCGGCGCTCTTTCTGGACTCATTGAAGAGCCCAGAGCTGTGTCCATTGGTGACGTTTCTCCTCCTCTTCCCACCCTTCCTAGCTTCCGCCCGTAGCAAGCCCGCCAGTGGTTTCACAACACCATGTGTCACTGCCAATTCCTTCCTCTGCTCGTGGCCGACAATCTCATTCTTCAGATTCTGGAGCGCGGCGAGCTGTGCCTCGGGCGTGCTCGGATTCGCGAGCTCGCTGAGCGCGGGAGGAATCGTTGACCGGCCCATGGCGTAGACGGAGAGCGAGCGGGTTTTCGGTAATGGGCGTGTGCTACAACCGACTGGCACAGATTAACGGTCGTCGTGCAGCCTCATGCGAAGAGGTTCAGTGCTGGGCGCACAAGCGTGTGGCAATGACGAACGGCGCAATGGAAGCGTCCCAGGGAAACTGCGGCTTGAGAGGCTGGAGGATCGTAGGAAGGCGCAATAGAGAATTGTATCACTGTTCATGCGGCAAGTAAGCGCTAATTCAAAACAGTCGTCAGTCGCGATGAGAAGTTTGCGAGGTAAGTCATGCTTCGCCGCGTGGTCGCGAGGGAACTTTGATGATGCACAAAGCCGCCCGCGCTCCATCGCGTTGGCGCAAACGTCAGAGTCGCGCGATAACACTTTGGTTATCGCCACGTGATCGACCCTTCATGCGAACCTTGGAAGTCGGTCCAAGGTTTCCATGTCCGAACAGAGCAAATGCGTACATTCATAACGTGTTACATAATCATGACCTTAACTCCCATGAGTACCGTTACAGTCGTGACACGCATCCCAAAATCCCTTCCCGATGCCACCGTCCCGCCGCCAAGACAAAAGAGAATCGTGTAGCCATCAATACAAAAGGGTGCCGAAGCAGACCCAGAAAGATGCAAATGCATAACCCTCAGAAGATTCTTCTCTTCATCCATATCCATAAACCTCGGTATCGTTCTCCTTCACGACACCCCCCTCAGTAAGTATGACAACAGCCACACATGCCGCGTACGCCTCCCGAATCGCACAAGCCATGCACGTCTCCTTGATGTTTGCCACAATAGCACTATGCCCATGATGCGCGCACCATGCTCTTGCGAAAACCTCGTTATCACTCACACCCAGAGCCTCTATAACGAGTACATTGGTAACTTGCTCGTGCGCGCTCTTTTGCTTCTCGTTCATGAGTGTGAGGGCTTTCTTGCCAGGAGAGGATTTGGATGACGTGGGACGGGGTATGCGACCGGACTGGGTGCCCCAATCATGGATGTCGACGAGGCCGTCGTCAATCTTTATGGCTTTATAACTAAAGTCGTAGAAAAGCACTGATGAATGTTAGCATGTGACAAGCTTTTGTCGAGAAATAATCCGTACCATGAGGGCCCTGGTGGCAGGGGAAGGCATTGATAAAGTCGACATTGTATCGCAACTTCATCACCCAGCTCTCACCACCACATGCAAATGAAATACCAGCATCGAACAGTATTGGAGGACCAGCAGCATGTCTGGTTCCTTCCGGACGCTCCTTAACGGGGATGAAGCGAAGCTTCTCCATACGTATGAGGTCTGTGACATCTTCGGTGTCTGGCATAGGAACCTCGTAGTCGTCCACGGGATACATGTCGTCTGGCGCGCCCAAGGGATTGCTGCGCTGATCCATAGACTCTACGTCGATGGAGACAAGCATGGGATCCGGAGACTCGTGCTGTCTGACCTTCACGCACTCTGTCCGCTTGAGATCCGGGGTGTAGATGCATGGTCCAATCCAGCCGGCAATCTGTTTCACCCCGCGTGCAGCACCCAGTACTTTGCCAACGATAGACTGTGATGACCAGTACGTGTTCGCTCGGTATTGGAATCCAGATGCAGGGTGCACATGAGTCAGGTACTTTAGAGCATCCCCGGTGTCTCGGTCACAGTCTATCAGACTGTTCATGATGAGCCACGGGAGTGTCCGACCTGGCAAGATAATCCCCGAAAACCAGGACATGGCATCCGCGGACCGATCCTCGAGCGCTTTCTCTTTCAGGTCCTGCTCGTCTAGGACATACTCAACCTCATCCATGTTCGGCCATTTGAGCGTTGCCGCAAAGAGCCTCAATGCTTCGATCTGTCTGCTCTTGCTCCTCAGATCGAAGCTAAAAGTGCTCTGGGTGGATGATGTACGCGTTTTCGTAATCTCCATATTCTCGAGCCACCGTTGAGCCACTGCTAGGTCCCATGTGATAATGGCTGGGAGCTGCAGGATAAGCTTTCGCTTAGACTTGTCCGTATGATGCTTGGAGTGTATTCGAAGGTAGAGTTCCACTGACAGTAGCAGTTGGTGGAAGAAGTCTTGCTTCCTCTGCGGATCGGGAGAATCAAACCACTTCGCCACGACCTGGTTCTTGGGGTGTGAGAAATCTACCCATTTCGGGTTGCTTAGTACTGTGATGAGATCCGTGATCTGCTGGTCGATCCGAACATGGCGGCGTTCTTCATCGAATCGCTCCGGGTCTTCGATCAGTGTACCGTATAGATAGCGATATAAGTCCTCAGGATCCTGCGAAACCAATAGTTAGGATCATTCGAACCAAAGTACCCCGAGCACGACTGTTGACTGACATCTTCATTGAGGCCGCTCTCTAGGGTCTGTAACCGGTCCAGAATCTGAAGGAGCCTGATCTTCCGTGGCTTGACCTCGCTCGCGAATTGTGTAGGGGGCTGACTGGTCCTCCACTTGCTGACCCAGTTGTTCAAAGTTGTGGTTCCTGCACTCTTGCCAAACGCGTACGCCATGCAAGGGTACTCGTGAGCCAACCACGGAAACTGGCTATCAGACGCACCCGTCATGTTGAGCGAAATGTCCCGGTATGCCTCCTGCTGGAAAGATGCGCGGTCCGTTCGACTCTGATGCTCAGCTTCCATGACGGCATAGAAGCGATCGTAGCCCGCTGGTGCGTTTGCTATCGCATCGCAATATCCCTTGAACGACGACGCACCGGCACATATGAGTTCCTCTGCCTGGTCAGGTTCCAGCGCATCCTCCGACGTGTATCCTTTCGGCGGCCATCGTCTTGACTTGCGGAAGTCCTCGAGCGGGGTGGGCTGGGAGTAGGACTCGGAGCGACGATGCGGAACGAGGGTCTGGTAAGGGACCATGTGGGCGTCTCCTCCGCTAGACAGCGGCCTCGTGGGGTTTGGCTCGGAGCCGTGTCTGGTTATGCGTGTGCGCGTGACTACGGGCGATGTTCGCGTTCTTGGGTGCTTTCCCACCTGCAGTTGCTGGAACCCATTTGTGAGTTGCGGGAAGGGCTCGGGGAACGCGTACGGGAGGGCAGACGGCGCTGGCGGTGCCTCGGGGCGAGGCGCGCTCCAAGGACTGTCGTACTGGTGTTTGATACCATCCCAGCGGGTGTATTCCGAGTTCATCTCTTACGCATAGCACTCTGTGTTGGAGAATTACCTGAACCTCTGGTGCCAGTTAGTGAGTTGTCAATTACAGAGTGATCAAGCAGCATGGCGGAACTATCGACGAGCAACTTGAGCACGTGCGAAGGTTTCAGACAAGCCAGGGAAGTAAAGCCAGAGCTGGCGAGGAACACAGAGCGCTCGATTGGGGCCGTGGGCTCTTGTGACATATACACACTCACCCTCATAGTACTATAGTCGCGCTACTGCCGCCGCCAGAGGAGTAAGACGCGTCTGCCGCGGGTCGGGGTGGAGATCACGTCTGGATCGCGAGGTGCTCGGGGTAGCGCCGGCACACGATTGCTCTAATGTGACCTCGTAAAGACAGACGCGTGGAGAGTGTAGTGGGGGTGGAGAATGAAGGACGGAGGGTTTCAAGTCAGGTCATGTTCAACTCTTGGGTCAGGGTCACCACTACCTAAGCCGACATCGTTGATCAAGGTCGCGTGTAGCATACTTCGGCTCTCCCTGCGCCGTGGCATTTGCAGGAACCTCCGTCGTCGCAGCAAAGGAGCGCGATAGCACGAAGAGCTACGCCATAGGGGTGGAGTGTTAGCCTCACTCTGCGGCACCCGTGCGTCTTACGACTGGGGTATGCTAGCAGCCGATTCTACTCGTCCACGTTACTCACGATGCATGCTCTTAGCGGCTTGACCGTGGTGCGTCTGCCAAAACACCATTCACAAGATAGTGGCATGCATATTGAAAGGGGTTGATGATTTAATTTTGCTGGTACTTTACAAGTAATACTTGCTATTCAACTTTCTCACTCGCCTCGTGCATCCTGCGCTCGTCGTCTACCAAACAAGCGGTCACACGAGGGCAATGTTCTGCTTCATCCCTAGCTGTTCTGTTGCTCTGAAGCATGCCTTAGGCTTTTGATAGCTACGAGAGGCGTCACTGTGACGGACCGTGCTGGTGGCATCGAAAAGATGCCTATGAGCGTGCTCGCTGATGGCACGAGCCTGAGATGATGTAGTGATGTGCCTCCGGCAGCTCGATAAGATCCCCCGTTGGAGGAGAGGCTGTAGGTGATAACTCCTGCCGAGTCATGTTCGCCAGCTCATCAACATCCAACCAGCCGTGTTCCCAGCCTTCCACACAAGGGCGGCCACGGTTTGGCTTGACAGTGGGAACAGATAAGATAACCCACGATATCGTCTTCGCGAACTCATGATTGCGACCAAAGCTATCAGGGTAGAGACGCTAACGGCATTGGGGAGCGTTTCATGAGCTGGCTTGATATCGTGGCATGATGCTGCTCAGCGCTCAAGAGCTTGTGTCATTATGTGCCTGATTGATTGGTGTGTATTCCTGTCGCTGATCCCGTAGGCGTGGTTACGTGGTTTGAGCTGGCCGTCGGTCCTGATTCCGGTTCCTTCTCTATAACGTATCCTGCGCCACGATCGACCAGACCTTTGTAGTAATCTACGAGTACTTCCGGCTTTGGGACGATGCGCCATTCGAGCCTCCGCAGAAACTCTAGCTCTAGTAACGCCAATTCACGGACACTGACGCCGCCGACCCTTGCATATAGGCTGTTGGTCCAAAAGCTGTCGCTAAGGCCTTTGGCCGCGACTGTCGCAGCAGTTATGAGGAACCGATGCACGGTGAGGCTGCTGATTGTGAAGGCGGGGTACATGGCGCACAGCTTGTCGACGTAGAAGACCATGGAGAGGAGAATTGGTGGAGACAGTGTAGCGTGCACTATGAGGCGGGAGAGATAGTCTCGTACTGAGATGCCCGGCGGGGCTCTGGGGATCAATGTCAGCGAATACTGCTTCAGTCAGTCTTGGACGGACGCACCTGGAGTGGAATCGTGTAAGTGTGCCGTCGCGCAGCGGGTAACCGTCGTTGAGCCGCACCAACTCCATGAGCATGTCGGAGATGAGCACACCGAGGTCTTTGACGTCGCACGTCTCATACTGAAGGGGCATGACCTTGACGCCTGGCTCCTCGGGCCTCGCTCGCTTGGCTGGCGAGGCAGGAACCTGCAAGACAGTGCTTTGCTCTTTCTGCACCCCGGCTGGCTCTACTTCCGCATGCGTGCTCTCGTGCGACATGCGGCGACCCTGGGGTTGCACATTGTTCGCGGGCGCGATGGGCTGCGGACTCACCCGCACTTGGGGCTCGGGGGGCTCCGTGACGACAGGCGCGGCGGAGGTATCCCCCCGCTGTGTAGGCACAGTGGCAGGAGCGCTGGAAGACGTCGGGTCGGCCGTTTTCTGGTCCTGGTCCTGGTCCTGGTCAAGGGTGGAGGAATCGAGAGCGATATCGGCACTGGTGCGGTTGCTGGGCTGCGGCCGGTAAGTCGGGGGAAACCCAGACGGCGAGTACTGGGTGCCCGAGTCGACGTATCCTCTCTTGCGGCTCTGGGGCGAGGGCGCAAACGTCGGGACTGGCGAGGGCGCCGAGAAGGCGGGCTTTGGGGTGGGCGGCGCGTCGAATCGCCGTGAGGCTACCGTGGTCACGGCAAAGCGGGGCGAGTGGGCGCTGGAGGAAGCCGATGTGCGTCGCGAGGCATGGTACGGGCGGTGGGTGGGCGTGTGGAAGGTCGTGTTCGGCGAGGGCGGTTGCGAGATTGTGGGTGAGGAAGTGATCATGTCGTTGTGCCGGGCTGGGGGTCCTAGGGTGGAGGAAGATGGCAAGATCGGGCAACCGCGGTGCAAATCATAGTCAGGCCTGAGGACGGTCACGGAACTGTTGGCAGGAACGTGGGGAAGGGAGGAACCATCGGCGAGGCTTCATCTGGCGTCGAGTGCGTAGGGCGGCCGCTCTTCCTTGAGCGAGGCTTGGCTGGCGTTCTGACGATAGCAGGCAGCGCCCACACCACGTGTGACGTCCGGGGATTTCTGTAGGCTGCCGGGCAAACCTTGCACCCTCTTGAACATCGGCAAACCATCCCATGGCTGCTTCTTCCTGTCCTGCGCAGCCTTTAGTAATTCTCACCGCATTTCCTGGCTGGTTGCGTGTAGGCGCATCGGCCCTGCGTGCCAACATGCTCGTCATCGCTGCGGAGCGCCTGACCGCCAATGAACAGCCATCAAGCCCTAGACATGGAGGGAACATCCTCTAATCAAAATTTCCAGAAGACGACAACCGATCGCTAGCTTCCGCTCGCACTAGCTTAGATAGTGTGTAGATTTTTGCTCTTGCGAAACTGCGCCAGTCTTCAATTTATTCAAGCCTGACTACACGATGAGCGTGATGTCACTTCGACAAAAAACATGCATGTTCCAGTCATCATCGCACAAAGCATTCAACGCCTGGCAGAGTTCACTCACAAGACGACCGATCAACTGACAATTATCCCCGCTCGAGTACCCACTATGCGCGACGCGTCCAACTCCAACCTCAAAGTTACCTAACCCGCGGACCCTCTGCTATCTACCTGCGATAAACTCTGGTACCACAGTGTCGCTAGCCGCTGGTTGCCGGCCCACGTTTTACAATGCCACAACATCACTCGACGAGACGAAGGCCGCTTGGCAGGGTTTTACACAAAAGGCCCGAAATGGTATCGTGTGGCAATTGCAGATGCAGTACGTGATGGTCTCGTTGCTGTACGGTCTATCGTCAACTAGACCGATTTTCTTGCTGCCGTGAGTTCCGGGAGCAGATCTAGTCTCGAGTCGGTTCGTGTATTACTTATGTATTCTCTAGTGTCGTTGCGAGAGTCGGACGTACAACAAAGGTGTGACTACACTTCATGTTATCGATAAGCTTGCACTATATACATCTCTTCTGTCTCTGTTCGAGGTAGCCTGCATCGTATGATCCAGCCTTTACAGCGGCGCTAAAGGTTTTCATGCTTTATCACGCTGTCTGCACGAGTCCCATTCGGGCATTGCACTACTCTATCCAAATGATTTCAAACAAACATTGCATACGAGCTAAAGATGATAATTCAAATACATATCGCTCATCATTTTGGCTTATTGCGTCCAGATGCGTCCAACTCTGCCGAGAAAGACTGTTGCTCCAGCGGTGGACTGTGCAACTCTGCTACGGCAGGTTGCCCGTTCATCTGTGCATGCTTTAGTTGGTCGATCCTATGAACATAGTTAGCGTGCATGTCTAGGCCAGGTATCTTTCAGATGAGTGGTACTTACTGTTGCTGCGACAACCCACTGACATTGCTCATCATACTCATATGGCCGTGTTGGGGCCCAGGGCTGGTCCAACCCGACGGGTACTGCTCTCCTACGTTGTGCTGACCGTATCCTGGGGGCGAGTTGAAGCCATAGTCTGGGTAGTGTCCTGGCGGTGGGGTAGCATAGCCAGGAGCTGGTGATTGAAACCCTGGCGATGAGAGTCCTCCATGACCGTAGTCCGAGCGACCGTACTGTTGGCTCATGTTTGGATCGTGGGTATTCGTACCATCTCGCTGTTTGATAACCTCCTTCAACGACTTGGATCGGCCTACAAAGAAGAAGAGAGCGGCACAGATTGCCAGGAAAGCCACGCCACCAAGGACTATGCCAACGATGGCACCAGTGGACAGGCTATGACCGCCGCCATGACCTCCCCCGTTAGATGGTGGCGGTGCTCCCGTTGACGTAGGAGCATTAGACAGCGTCGATGTTGCCTCACCAGGAACTGGTTCGCCAGGCGCTAGTTGAAAGTCTGCTGCGGCAGCCGCTTGGACTTGCGATGCCAGTGTTTGCGTAGAGTTCGGGTTGATGACTCCGACCATGTGTTCGCCCAGACATGAGTTCGGTGCTGCACAATAGAAGAAGATGGGTTCTGTCGAGTTGATCGTAACATTGAAGTATGTGAGCTGCGAGAGTGTTAGCGTAACTTGGCCGGCTGTTCATCGAAGGACCAACCTCATTCGTATTGTTCACCCATTGGGTCTCAGACCAGAACCCTACTTTGTCTTTTCCCGTATATTCATACGGTACGCAGGCTGATCCAAACTCAGCTCTCGCGACCGAATGATCCGGTGGATAAAACTCCCATTGAATGATGTCGCCCACGGAGACATTGTGAAGTTCTTGCGGTGTAAATTTGAAGCCTCCGGCGCCAGCTTTGATTGAGTGGATTGTTGGTTCACCCGAAGATGTCGGTGTTGCAGTCGACGATTCTACTGCTTCCGAGGTCGTAGGTGTCGCCGATGAAGATTGTATATTGTTGGATACTGTCTGTGAGACATCTTGCGCCATAGTAGACGAAAAGTAAAGTTGGCTGGTCGCGATGGCCACTGCTAGCCTTGCGGTCCACGAGCGTCTCATTGCGATGGTGGTGTGGCGGGTAGATAAGCACAATAGTAAGACCAGCCTCCTGCACAAAGCCCGTGATCTCTTAGTCCACTCAGTTTTCTGATTGTCGGGAAAATATGAATGCAGTGCTAGCAGTGTAGCAGGCAGCATAAAGGCTCAAAGAAGGAAACAGAGCAGAGGTGACCCAGCAGGCTGACCCCCAACCCTTAAGTCACTCTTCCGCCCATCTTGCTCGATACCGCTGTTTCCAGCCCCCACAGCCGCACTGCGGATAGTGGACCAAGTGACAGGCCACCTTCCTGTATCTGCCATCATACATAGCCTTTGTTCGTCTTATGCAACCAATCAGTACATTCAATGTTGCCGATCTGGCAGGCGCGCCCTTGTGCGGGCGCATCTGAGGCGTACAGCCATTGCAGCAACATGCCTGTAAATTCGCCAGCGGGGCGTGCCATCAGCATGTCAGCAGGGAATAAGAAGCACAGTCGATAGAAGGTTGGATATGTGTAACGGCAGCTAGTGCTGATGCTGGCCCATCACCACTTGGCCTACTTCCGTGCCACCGTCTCTTTGACTGCGCCGCCGAGTGCATCAGTATTGACAATCTCGTTCCAACCTCGTTCTGAGGAATCTGGAGATGCTGGCCAAGGGCGCGTAGCAACTCTTTCCGCGTATCTAGTTATCGATTTGCGCTGTTCGCAGCTGCCATGCCGTCTAGATCCTTCTCGTACGCGAGCTGGCATGTGGTGGAGCACAGCTGAGTTGTCGTCAAGGAATGAGCATCGAGCGTTTGAGCCGCCAGCCTCGAGTGAGCTTAGCGTTGGTCAGCGACCCGGCCATGAAAGCGGGCCCGTCTGCTTGGCGCATGCATGGCTTGGGCGCAGTATGCTGATTGCCATGCGTGTGCGGAGTAATTGCTGTGGTGGGTGGAGGATCATGCGAGCGCGGAGCGGCTGTCGTGAGGCGTAGGGCTCGGCCGGTTCGATGGATAACGGCTGGCGTCATGATTAGCCATCTCCAGGGCTCGTACCTAAGCGAGGCGCAAGCCGACCATCTTGAAGCGGCTCAAAGTACCGAGGTTTTGCATCGCATCAGCAAAGCTATCAATAAGACTTTCGTTCAACATCACTGTCATCATCGGGGTACTCATATTATCGAGGCGCAGCTGTCCTCTAGGAGATGTTGATTATTTGCGATTGAAGAAATGCAGCGCGCGTACTCAACACATGAAACATCAGACATCGCTTCATCGTACAGCGAAAAAGGTATGCCAGATACGCCAGGCCATGCAACGAATATGATGGATGCCGCAATTCACGCCATCTCTCGACCAGCTTCAAGTAGCTCAAAAGGGTGGCCTTTTGACGGGACTCCGTGGACTGCTCGCACTGAACAAGCCCATTTGAGGCATCTTAGGGCTCTTTAACAGATTCGAGGCGGCTTCTTGCTCAAACCGCCTAGATGTGTGTGACGCGCTCGCTACAGGCGGGCTTCGCAGCCCTGCGACCGTGTTCTGCGGCCCCTCGTCAGTACGACTGGAAATGTCATTCATCTCTTCAAACTCGCTCTTCTTTTCCAAAAGTAGGCTTTGCACTTCATCCAAATGCTGTTCGAGCATATCGTCTAAACTGTCCTTGGGCGATTGGATAAGGTTGCCAAGCTTCTTGCGCATCTTGCGTTGACGGCTCGGATTCCAGACGAAGTGGCTGTTCTTCACGAAGATCATAGAGTGCTGCGAATCTTAGCTGGTATCATGTTGTAGTCTTCAAGCGTACTTACGGAGTAGTACCAGCTGGAAATGGTGTCGTCCGTTGCTCGTTTGATGGACTGAATAGTTGTTTCTCCCACAAATCCGATTAAGCACTCGACTGGGCTATCCGGATCGGTGCAGTTTTCTGTAAAGTCAGTCGCTGCTCTGGGAAGGCAAGCTGCGAGAGGACTTGGGATGCTTACCGTTGTGGCTCAGTAGATCAACAAGTCCAAGATACGCATCGCCGATACCCATGAAGAACACTTGCGTCGCCTCGTTTGGTCTATTCACACGTTAATGATTGATCAAAAGCGCGTTCTGAGAGACTTACTCAATATAGTTCTCCCACAGATACGCTGCAAGTTCGCGGGTTTGCTGCGCTCGGACTGCGGAATCATCGGATCTTGTGTAGCCGATGATCGACTGACTGTGATTAGCAAGCTGTTTCGGCAAAAGCATCGCGAAAGCTCACGTCTTCCACTGCAACGACTCTCGGAATATTGACATCAATGACTTGAAAGTCATTGTTGATGGCCCAGTCAATATACCTCTTCGTAACATCAGTCTTCATCCAAAGTCAGCGATTACACAGTGCGAGACTGCAGCCGTACTCACAAGCCATGTGTTGTGCAGTTCTCTCTTACCAGTCACCGGATCGGTGTGGTCTTGGAAGCTCGGCGGGTCGTGAAAAATCACGAGGAGAGGATACCGGTCCATGAACTTTGGTCTGTACTAAGTCAGGATCTGCGGGGATTATAAGGAGAATGAACTTACGTTGCAATGATATTATGCTCAAACGTCTGGGATAAGCCAGCCTTGTTGATTTGGAGTGGAGGAAGAGGAACCATGGAGTGTTCTGATGACAGCCGCTGACTCTGCCATTCGCGGATGATTTCGTGCAATCGATATGTATCTTTGTAGCCAGGGTCGGTTTTGTCCAGGTGTTTAGGGTAGAGGGACTTCCAGTACTTGGAGTGCTGGCGTTTCACGTTCTCTATGACGTAAACCGCACTATCCTTTGGGGCTGGAAGATCCTCGTTCAGGCGATCCGGCGGCTCCAACATGAGTACCCTCGTCACGGCTAGCGCCGAGCGCGCTATTGATCTGAGATTGTAACCACCTTCGAGGCACACCACGATTTTCCCCTTTGCTAGTCGCATAAGCATATGTGTCATGTGACCGTAACACGCTGGTGTGACGAAACAACCGCCCAGCAGGTCTCCTTCGGCTGCATCGAAACCGGCCGAAACTATGACAAGATCCGGATCAAACTCAGTAGCAATGGGCATGACAATTTCCTGGAAAGCGTAGAGATATTCTGAGTCGCCCATGCCGTGTTCCGCCCAAGGGATATTCACATTCTTCCCCTCACCAGGACCTTTGCCGCAATAGTCAAGATTACCGTCCTTCAAGTTGGGGTAGAAGTTTCCGTCTTTGTAGACATGCAGCGATATGTAGAGTACGTTTGGATCCTCGTAAAAGGCATGCTGGACGCCATTACCGTGGTGAACATCCCAGTCCAAGATCAAGACCTTACGGCAAGTTTCCGGATATGCATTCTGACAGACCCGGGTAGCTATCGGAACGTTGTTGAAGATGCAGAATCCCGAAGCCTGATCTGTTTCGGCATGATGCCCGGGAGGACGAATGATGGCGATTGCGTTGCGCACGATTCCTTGTACTACCGCTTTACAGGCCTCGATGGCTCCTCCAGCTGCGAGCTTGGCGCATTCATAGGTCGCATGGTTGAAGTAAATTGAGTCGCGATTGGAGGCCTCCATTTTAAGATCTTCCACAGTCATGTCTAATAGCAAAGTTAGTCCAGTTCTCTTAATGTTATCATAAACCTACCCTGCAATGACTCTACGAATGCGTAATGCTCTTCCGTGTGTATCAGAAGGATTTCTGGTCTCGTAGCGAAGCGCGTCATGATCCTCCAGCACTTGTCTTCTTGGTCTTCGTCTAAATCACTAGTCGCCAGTAGACCAGCTTGCCTAATCTCTTCATAGATGGAGTGAATACGACGCGGATCTTCGGGATGGATATCATCAATGAGATCCATGTCAGGCAGCTCGGCGTGAAAGCGCATACGAGAGTCGTAGACGAGGCCTGTCTTGTTCGTCGCATATGGAAGAATCGATGATCTCGGTTTTGGGGGTATGCGAACTTGCGGACTTGATCGCCTAACAGGAGTAGGGCGCGACATGCTCATCTTATCCGACCAGCCACTCGGCGACTTTGTCGTTCGATGTGATCCAGCCTGGCTCTGCGTGGTACTAGGTTGCAGAAATGAGGGGTTCTTCGATGGGCTGTGAAAGGGGAGTTGCTCTCTTTTAGATAATGGTGGCCCTTTGATGTTCGCAAAAACTTCAGACGGGTTCACGGTGTCCAGTACATGGTCCCCATTTGGCTCCGTCGAATTGATTATGGAGTCATCTCCCATGGCATAGTCTTCGTCTGCCATGACTATCTCGTAGGGTAAAGCGGGCATGGTACGCCTCGCTTTGCGGTCGCGGGCTTGCAGCTATAAATCCATTAGCGACAACACTATCAGACGCGCTGGTCGTATGACTTTGAACACCCGACCCCATGACTTCAGCATGGTGTGCTGAGTGAATGAAGAAAACCATGCTTCTAATCTGAAGCCGACTTGGGTAGATGAAAATGTGATCCCAAGCATGCTAAGAAACAAAGATGTTGAAGAGAAAGCGCTCTGAGGGTCGGCCTCTGTTATGAGAACATGTTGTTGATGCGGAGCTAACTGTAAGAGCTGCTTTGGGATGAATTTCGGAAGTGGTGAACAGAAAGGTACTTACTGGCGATATCGCTACCGCATTGAGCTAGCTGTACTGGAGCTAAACGTATTGGTGGAGGATTGG